ATATATATATATATATATATATATATATATATATATATATATATATATATATATATATATATATATATATATATATATATATATATATATATATATATATATATATATATATATATATATATATATATATATATATATATATATATATATATATATATATATATATATATATATATATATATATATATATATATATATATATATATATATATATATATATATATATATATATATATATATATATATATATATATGTGTATATATATTTTTATTTTATTTTATATTTAATTGGAAAAAGTCATTCTACCAATCTTCGTAGGTAAATTGGGATTCCAAGCCCATTAATAATTATATATTATGAATCAAAATGAACGTAGCCGTGAATTCATTAATCCGGATACTAAATTGAAAATACCTTCCGACGTTGAAACAACAAACGGCGAACTATCGCGGTAATTAATTTTAAGGATACCGTGTGCAAAATTGCCAACCCTCTTCGGGTGCATTTACGTTATAAAAGCAAAAACTCGGACCGAGGGATGTATTAAATTAATGCCCAAGATTAGATGCAAATTTTGTTTTCCAAATTAGCTACAATTCGATGGACGCTTTAATTGATTTTAATCGAATACCAGGCCTCCGGGAGGCAGATAACGGAAGACATTTTTCAAATGGAATTTATTCCGGATTGATACGTACGAGGATATCGTTTTAACGCGTCTAAAAATCACAACGAGCTTTCAAGTTGCCTCGTTCCATAAACAATATGCTTTCAGACCCAAATAACAACTCTCTGCGTGGCTACAAGCATGAACGCCACGGTAGCGTTGGTTTGCCTCTACTCGCCGAAAGTCTACATTATCGTGTTCCATCCGGATAAAAATGTTCGCAAACTAACTATGAACAGCGCGGCATACAAGAAATACAACACCGGACCGTCAACTTCGTACGCAACTTCCTCTATTTCGACAAAAGGTAAGTTGCTAGCGCACCAGCTGCTCTGGACCTTACGAAACGATGAAAGAGGACCAACAATCGTATTTTGAATAGTCAAATAGAACTTGTTTCAAAATATGCAAAGATTTTAGACATCTATAAAACTTTTTTTACTATTATCATAAGTCCTAAAACGCACATATTTTTAATAATATGGCATGCATATGATGGCGAGATAAGAATGCAAACTGTTATCTCGTAAACTATGTCGGTGATTTGTGAAAAAATGTATTATTAAAATGGCCAAAAGAAGGCCTAGGAAGATATATTTGCGGACTTCAAAAACTACCTACTAAAGATATGAAAAAACGGGCGATTTTTAAAGCTAAGCTTTGGAAAAGTGATTTTTGTCTAACACTTTTGTAACTCCTAATTCCAAACTTGGTCTCGCTGGATAAACTATTTATTGCTCAAACCCATCTTACCTGTGATACAGTCGGTCAAAAAAGTCTCGGTACACATAGTATTTTTTCAGTTTTCTTCTAGTTTCTTCTTTCACTCACATTGCATGAGAAATATTTCAAGTAAATATCGGCAATCTGATTAAGAGTAATATATATAAAATAAAAATCATTTGAGATAATTTATTTGAACGATAAACAATAAGCCAGTTTTAGAAGCAAGAAACTATGTCAAATAAGTCTCCATAAAATTTAATAAATCACTTTTGAGATCTGCACGTAGAACCGTTAATTATCAATATTTTATCAATTCAGCTTGTATCAAATTTCGCTTAAACAAATGTGTTATACTTGTTTATTTTTTATGCCACTTGTAAGTCAGTGATTTTGAAGTAAAATTCCAGTTGCGCTTCCAAAAATCACAGTAGATTTATGGAAAGAGAAAAATCCGTTAGGTTATAACAGCCGCGTTGCCAGAAGGAAACCCTTAATTCCGGTAAAAAATCGAAAAAAACGTTTCGAATTTGCCCGAGAACAAGAGAGTTTTGGGAAAACATTATCTTTAGTGACGAAATAAAGTTTAGATGAAAAAAAAACAGCTCTGAAAATCGAAAATGTCTGTCCTACGGTGAAGCATGGTATTGTAGGAGTGTATGACAGCTAATGGGACAGGCAATTTAGCTTTTATTGACGGAATCATGGATCAACATGGCTATTTGAACATCCTAAAGAATAATTTAAACCAAAGTGTTGAAAAACTTAACCTTGAGGTAATTTATTCCAACAGGATAAAGATCCTAAACACACTGCTACGCGTGTACGTCACTGGATGATCCATAATGTCCGTCAACAACTTCATACAACACCACAATTTCCAGATGTTAACCCCATAGAGCACCTGTGGCAACAATTAAAGCGACGAGTGAAAAAACATCAAGTTACGAGTAAAGAAGACCTCAAAAATAGGATAAGAGAAGAGTAGGAAAACATATCGCCAGAAGTTACAAGAAAGCTTGTTTTAAGTCTTCCAAAAAGATTTGCTATTATTACCGCAAATGGCAATTGTACACAATATTAGACTTTTCAATTTATCATAAGAAATAATAATATACGGAGACTTATTCGATATAGTTTCTTGCTTCAAAAACTGCCTTATTTTTTATCGTTTAAATAAAGTGTTTCAAATGATTTTTATCACTCATAGTGAGATTGACGATATTTACTTGAAATATATTTCTCATTAAACGTAAGTGAAAGAAGAAACTAAAAGAAAACTGAAAAAATACTGTGTACGGAGACTTTTTTGACGGAATGTATGTCTAGTTCTCGGCGATGCCGCTTGAGCGCACTTTTGACATAACACGCCTAGAATATGTTGATGGGAAAAGTTATTTTAACGCTAGTACATTTTAAAATAAAATGACTTTTTAGAAGTTCACTTTTTAGCGAATACTGATATGGTGATATTGATATATGATGTTAGAAGTGTGCTACTGCACAGTATGTTTCATAAAGAATAATATCATTGGATGAGTTGGCAAAAACGACTACAGTCAATGCTCCAATAGTAAATAAAAAAGTAAAACCAAGAGGCTAATCATCTAAAATATATTCTCTAAAAAATTAAATTTTAAAAAGACGCTGTTAGACCGGTATTCAAGAATAAATTATAAAATTCCATAATTTCATTATTTTCAAATGAAATAAGTATAAAGAGTATGAAGAGGACGGAAGAATATGAAGGAAAAACTATATTTATATACTCAGTGTGTTTGTTATTTCAGTTCAGTTTTTTAAAGAGGAATTTGCATAATACTGACAGAACAACAACATTAAACATATACCAAGATAGTAACAATATTGTATTGCATTCCTTTCCTTTATTTGAGCTCTCTAATAATTTTTTTGCGGCCAACCTGCTGGCAATTTTTTTAACCCATCGCAATTTTTGAAAAATAAAATGCCAAGCAAGCCCCGGAAGTTCGGTATCGAGCTGAAAAAGGCGAGTGCAGCAATTTTTAATACAAAATTTGAAACGAAAAATAAACCCAAACGTCGACTAATAAATAATTCGACAATTTGATTGTCACGGCCGACGCAAAACTATTAATAACGAAAATGCAATATTTCGCCAATGTTATCTCTAACTCATGGACGTAGTCGATTTTTGTGCATACAGTATGGCGCAGAAAATTCGATAATTATGGATTTACAAACAAACAAAAAATCCTTAAGGAAAAGCTCGAAGGACCGTCCGACGGAAATACCTTCCCTGGCAATGCATCAAGAGAATCTCTTTCTAGGAACCCCAGGTGAAGGTATACCGATGGAAAGAGTTGGGGTCGCTACTCCCTCTCGCAGCTCATGCGCTGGGGTTCAAACTGATCCCCCCGAATCCACAGAACCTTCTGACGCTATTTCATTATTGTAAACAAGCAAAATTTGAGAAGTGAGTCGAAATTTCACGTTTTCGAAAAGTTAATTGTTTGTCGATTGCATGAAATTGGGTTGTTTATCTCAAACAAAATGACATCCACACTATAGCATTCCTCACGAACGGAAAACGTATTTCGTAGCATGTTACGCTAAAAGCATTTTAAGTGGCCCATAAGCATAATAAACGTAAATAAATACGCTTAATAAAATATATACGTCTCATAAAACAAAGCTTTCTACATGACTCTGGTTTAAAAATTAAAAAAAAACTACTACTTTATGATAAACAACCCACCACCGTCTTTTTTTAACAAATATCCGTCCAAAACGTTTCTGCGACGTAAAAGCCCTGGGACGTTTATGTCCGTATCCATTTAGCAACCCATTTAATCATTGTGGCACAGAATAAATGTTTAATTTTAACGTCTATAAATTTAGGGTATAGTAGCAATTTAGTTTGGAACTGTTTCAGTTATAAATTGTTGTCGATGGTTTTAGCTGATTTTTGCATGTAGTTGTACACTTTGTTGTTGCAAATTTAGCACTCGAACTATATCCCATTTTTGGTTGTTCAAAAAAGTGCAAAGTCGATCTTGGTACGCCAGTGGATTATTTTTGCATGTCTCGCGTTTTTGTCTTGCTATACATAAGCAAACGTTGATTTTTTGCGTACTTTAAAATAACCACAAATGAAAAAGACAGCTGATTTTATTTATTAAATAAACACTGTTTGTAGAAAACTTTAATTAATAACAATTAATTTTTTCTTATGTTTCAGATTCATAATTTCAAATGAAGCGCAGAAATAAGAAGTAAGTGATAACATCCACCTACGACATTTTCAAAAATTTAGAGGGAAATTACGCAGAAAATAACGAAGATTTAAACTAGATATACGCATGTAGCGCTAAATAGGATGATTTAAAATTCGCAAAAAGAAAATACGGTGATGTCGATCGTGATTACCTAGTCCGCTTTTCTCAATAAAAATTCGTTGTTTTGCGAGAATTCAAAATACTCATCGTCTTAAAAATTAAAAAAAAAACAGGAAGTTTGCTAAATATATACAATACGATGCATACATTCACACCTATCATGTTTATATAGCGACATTAAAGAAACATATCAATATCCGCTTCGCATTTTGAAATTAATTACTCATATGTATATAAATCTCTTTTTTTCTAATAAATTTACGAACAACCTACTATAAAGCCTATACAAAAATGACTAGCCAACGGTGTATCGGATCCGATATCGGCTATCGAATAATAGAAAAATTATAGGAGCTAGTTTTCGTCTGAACACGAGACATTGCGCATTAAAAAAAAAACTGGGATTGGGATTTACGACCCGCATTGTTTCATCTATCCGCACCAAATTGTTAATGTTCGATGTTAGTTCGGCAAAATTTCTTGAGATAAACCTAGAGGCTGTATTATATTCGATCTACCGGTACATTGACCAGCGCAATAAATATTAATTAAAGTTAACTATTTCCCAAGCGAGGCAATATAATTTTAGTAATATCAGTTTCGAATGACATATACGGTATAATTTATTATAGTACCAATAAATTAGATAAGTTCACTTAGAAGGTGATTCGAAATTTAATCTTGTATATAAATATGTAGGTAATGATGGACTAGGGCAAAATTAATGCACGCTTTACCACCCGGTTATATAAATCGGGAGCTTGAAGGTGAAGAAGTGAAAATTTTGCAAAGTTCCGTAGACAAACAATAATAAAATTGTGTCATTATACATGTAGTCTTTCCGCTAGAAGCAAGACTGTTAACAAACAATAAAACATATAAAACTGATTTTAACATTGACTGTTACTGCAATTTTTCTTAAAATTCACGTATAAGATCAAGTTAATTTGTATTTGAAAGAATAATATTTTTATTTTTCTGACGAAATAGGTTGGTTCGTTAGGGTGATTCACGTTGAGTAGTCCTATTAAAAGTCTGGAGGGAGATATGGTATTTTCACGAATGCGGCAAATCAATCAAACTCCCAGAAGAAACTTTGAAGTTTTGGATAACATAACGTAGTTATTTCCTGAAAAAAAATAAAAATAAAAACCATTACTTGTCGAAAGTTATCATTGTCTTTGGGTAGATTCGCTTAATTTGTTTCTACGACCCTAACACAAATTGGAAAAAATTCTCTATTTTAATTCTCCAGAACTTTTAATAGGCCATAAGACGGGAATCATCCGGTATATATAAGATTAAGGAATGTTAATATTTTACATATTTTTCGAAAAATGAAAACACGTTAAAGGACTTTCCAGGCTAACAAGGAGAAAAGAAAACAAACTCGATAACAACATTTTTATTATACTCATAAATATTTAGAACAATATAAGCAGCATTTGGTGTGACCACATCCCGCAACGATTGTTTCGCTTTTACAACCTACCGCAAATAGCTTTAAAATGTAATGTGCTTCTGAGATACATACGGGTTTTTTAAAGCATTTTACGGCCTCTTTAAATTTGAGCTGCTTCGTAGTATTCCTGATTTTTAAATGAAACCAATTCCAGAAATAATTTGAAACCCTATACGACATAAAATATTCGCAAAGGAAATTCGAAAAAATCCAGTCATATCATTCATCATTAAACTCATTTTTGCGTACTTACCGAGTTGACTGCTACGCCTTAATCAATACATATTTTTCTGTTCTATTTGTTTTAAAACACGTCCATTTGTGTGATTAGATTGTCAAAATTAGTAAATTATTCCACGCAAATCAACATTGCAAGTAAATGAACGTCGATCACGTAATATGTGGCTCTTATAAACATATGTACGCTTAGTCCATGACGGTCGGCATACAGAGCGTCATTTATAAACTGCATGAAATAAATCAAAGTATGCGGTCTTTTATTATTGTTTTTTTAACCAAGGCCTTATTCGCGCACAACCTAAGTAGCTCCAAAGTTAATGTTAAATGGCTAAAGGTGATTTACAAAACACGCGCATGTATCTCATGACTTTCGACAAAAAGCCTAATGTGTCACCTACACTAGGAAACCCATCCTATCGGAAAGGTTTGGGATGCTTGTCGCCTCAAAAAGGGGAAAAAAGTTGCGCCTTGGTGGTAGTTTGGTCCTATTTGTGTCTCTAATAAACACTAATTGTCATTCTTCATTTTACTCGTAACGCAGGTGTTTTATGTGTCTATGTTTCTTTTCTTAAGGTTACGATTATAACTTTTGCTGAATACTTAGAATGGAATACTAGCACTATAAGATACGATTTTTTTTTGTTAAAATAGTCATACATTATTTAATCGATATTTAAAAATTGCGAGTTTCGAGTATTCCTGGCAAATAAAAAAAAGATATTGAGCACGTGGCTACCAAAACAAATGCCATTTCTAAGATATCAGCAGAAGTTATTTTATTGCAGGTTTCTTCTGATCGACAAAATATGATGTGCTGTTCAATGTTTTTAATGGAAGTCTCAATGTTTATTTGTCACAGGGATGCAATCCTAAATAAATAGCAAGTTAGAAAAAATATATAAAGAAAATATTTACCGATTTCTCTTAAATGTGAGTGTTGGCTTTTCTTACTTTGATTTTAGAAAATGCTATACTATCGCACTTCAATGTTGATCATAGAGATCTAAAGAAACCGTGTTGCAGATGTCGCTCTCTATCATTTCGTTTCAATTTCCTGTCAATTCATTTCGTGCTGATCGAACATGCGGTTTTTTTTGTTGATGAGATTTGAAGTTATAAATGGTTGCAAAACTATATAAAAAATAATTATGTATATGTATTCTCATACAAAAAAAAACTTATTGTGTAAAATGATAATAAAAACTGTTGAAAATGTGAGTTTTTGATTTAGTGCGCAGAATATGGGAAACCGAGGAAAAAAAACTCGGAGGAAAACAATATAAAATCCAAGTTTATTATATGGCACAATAAAAAAAATATTTATTACAGTATACTACACGTCAAAAAATATCAGGCACAATGCGTAATGTATCACAGTATACTGAGCTTAGGACATTAATTATAAAATAAAATGACATATAATCGCTCCAAAAATAAAATATTATTTTAACAAATCAAAGACGGTTCCACATATTAAACCTACACCCCCTTAACTAGTTGGAAATCATTCCAGACCACAAATAAAAACAAATGCAATTAACGAATCCGTCACAAAGTGACTTTTGGTATCCCATCCCTAACGGATCGGCATCCTCCTGCTTATGAGGCTCTCTGTAGACTACATACAAATCCTAAAACCGCAAATAAATCCTAAAAATATCGTTCCTTAAACACTCACCCCTCTAGATGTGTGGAAATCTAAAGATAAAAGCATGAACGCTCCAAAATAACGAGGATGGAGGATTACGTAATAAACGACATTGCCATCGGATGAAGAAAATTGTCTGTGTTGATCGGCATATTTAACTAACAAAAGTTTAGCCAAGCCCTGATACCACGCGAGCGGATGGTTGAGCAACGGTCCTAAATTTGGATATAAATGACCCAGATGTCGCAATTTCGCGAAATTTTTTAATTCAATAAACTCCTCAAACGTCAGTAAATTGGTTTCTTGGGGTGATATAAGTCTATTCCAAAGTAAATTTGTTCTGCAGTGAATCATGCCTAAAATTAAAACAATGAATTTACCAAACCAAACTAATTTTATAGCAATATTATTCCATTATTCCAAGAACTAAGCAAGTCAACCAGGCATTTTGAAAATACACCCGACAACGGCGAATACCAAAAGAAAAACTGAATGACATACCTTTAGCGACCATATCTCTGATCTCATTTTGAGTGTGCTTCGCCTTTTCCATTATTAATTTTTGCATTAGTTGCTCATGGGACGAATAATAACCCAAATAATTGACAGATTCTTGATAAATTGCAACAGATGGTAGACTATTGGCACTAGACTGGTCATCCAATTTACTCGAATTCTTATCCATCTCGTCGGACGTCGTTTCCCCACTCTCTTCATTGGATTCCATCTTGGTCAAGCTCGATTCGGCATCGCTTATGGTTCTCTCCAGGGTACCATACGACGTGTAAGTTGAGGAGACGGTGCGAAATTTTCCTAACTGCTTTTCTATTTCGGACGTCGGATATGTTTCTCTAAGGAATTGTAAAAACCTTTACGTTAGCTGGGGTTATTTTTTAACCTTACCGCTTGGATGTCAGTATTAAATAGTATATTAAATGCAGCACATTATCGGTAGGTTTAAAAGGCGCGCAGACATTGGAGACCACGACGGTGACGTCAAAATCGTCTGTATGTTGCTGATCTTGTGAGTCTTTATACGAAATTTTATGATTAGTGGATACTTTTACTAAAATAAATTCAGCTTCACAGTCGTCGATTTCGAGAACTTTAAAACCGTAATGACCCACATTTATTAATAAATAATCAAACAATTGTTTGCCTTCTGTAACCAAATCTTCTATTACCAGCATATCTAAAACAGAAAATTAAAAAACGTGGTTGGTGGGTTGTGTGGAAATTATTGTTTATTATAATCCTCCATTTAATACAAGTTGAAAAAGATAACATTTCTTATATCAAATAATACTAAATGTTTTGACTTATCTCTAGTCGCTGAAAAAAAGATATCCATTTACAAAAAATGTTAACTGTTACTGGGGGGCTGGGGGAGGGGGTGCACAGTTTTTTATTGACAGTGACCAACTTTTAAAAATTAAATAGAACTTATATTATTTCAGACACGGATTCCTCATAAGAATTAGGAGTGACCTTCTGTAAAATATTCTATAGGTCAACTTTTTTAAATTAGCATATAATAGTAGTTTAGTGGGAATAAATAAAAACATTTTATAAATTTGAGAAACCAAAGATAATATCATAATATTTAATTTCAGTTGCTTAGTTGGGTTGCTAATATACAGGGTGATCTCAGAAGTCAATACATATATACATAATAAAATTAAAAAATTTCGATTATTGACTTAGCCTTTAAAAGATATAAAGAGATAATTTTTTTTGTAAATTGGATATCAGGCAATGTGGAACATTCTATACTTAATTGAATATACCTGTATGGACGAGGTTCCTGGCAAAATTGGGGGCCTTATTGTAATATTTAAGAAAGTGATCCAAAAATTGTCGAACGTTATATTTTTCGCACAGTTTTCCAGGAAGTCCGGACAAATAATTATACATCGAACGCAGATGATAGTCGTAGGCGAACGAATGCAAGTGCATGAAAATTTTTACTTTGTCACACTCGTCCAGGAAACTTAGAGTAAACTAAAACCCAAATAAATTACCAGTCAAATACCAAACAAAGCATTTTATTCAAATTACCCCATTTACGGAAGCTCTGGAACTGATATTTTGCAACCGGTTGCATTCAATCGCGTGTAACTTGGTGACAAAAAACGGTTCATTAAAAGATGCAGTAAATATCAAAATTCCACCGATTATCGTCCTCTGGACATAAAATACCGAATTATATGCCGATTTGTCTTTAAGCCAAATACTAAAAGACAACAGTCATCTAAAATTACCAAAAACACTAAAGACTCTTACCCCAACGGCCCTTGGGGGCAATCTATTTGTAAGGGAGTAAACATTAGGGTATGTAAATAATTCCTATATTCGCAGAAAAATGAGTAACACAGTTCAGTATGCCAATGCTCCTGATGTTTGTCTGCCAATTTGTCTGCCATTTCCAAAGCCTGGGATGGATATAAAGAGTGGTCTCTAGTGGCAGCACACTTCAATCGCCATCTCGGCAAAAACAATAACGGGGTATGGCAATAATGTAAAATTCTGGAGTTTTGCATTAGCAAATTCAGTTGGGAAACCGACGTTGTACCTGTTCTTGATTGATACATAGAATGCAATTTTTTCATTTCGTCTAAAACGGTAATATTTTTTTTAACTCTTGGGATTTTTTAATATTTTACCTCTGGTTTTCTTCTCTAGCGATTTCATTTCCCTCATTTCTATAGTAAAAATAATAGTAATATCGTTGGATGTATATTTAGTAGTGCAAAAGCTGTCCCGAAAAGCCTCCAATACTGTAAGCAAATTAAATGTGGGATGCCGAGGTTTTTTCTGCAAATGGTCCTTTGGAAACTTGGTCATCATATCCAAATTACCTATCGCACTTAAGTAATTATTTGAGGACAGCATCTGAAATTTTATGAAGCCCGTAAAATGGGATAACTATCCAAATATACGCGACTTACAAAACATTTCCTGGTTAGAGGCTGATTATGGAACAACCCTAACTTTTGAGAAGTCACGGAACTTAAAAAACAAGAACGAACACATAGCCACTGACTTAAACTATGGCAGTTACTAATTAATTTTTCAATGCTGTCTTTAGCCCAGTTGTAAGTATAAATTACAACCTGAAACCATACAACTTAGAAAAGAGTGCTTTAAGTTCCCCAAACGAATTAGGCTTACGCTATCAGTCTCAACGGAAATCCAAAAAAATTTGTCTCTTGGTACGATCAAACTTCCAACACTAGCAGGTGCAAACTTTTGGGTACGCTGTATATCTGGTACATCGTGATCAAAATACATCTCAGTTTTGTGAAAATTTCTTGGCACAATTGCGTACTTCCTTATATAATTTGACGAAACGAATGGCACATACATTACTTTATTTAAACAATCCAAACTGTGGGTGGCGGTAGCTCGAAAAGCTTTGGGGTGGTCTTCCAACATAGAGACAAGCTCTTTAACGATCAACAACGGAAGATGATGATTGGCTAAATTTATTTTGTGCTGCTTAACTGATGGGGTATTTAAGGTGTGACCAAACTCCAGCCAGGAAGGCAAGTGTTTTGAATAAACAACGGACAAAACCCCACTGTCAATATCGTCTAGCGAATTATCAGTTTCAATATCATACGATATGGCTCTAGAAGTTTTGGGAGTTGGCTGAATCCTTTTACCATACTTTCTACCAGAATGTAAATGAGTATCAACTTTTTTTCTTATACAGTTTGCCGCAGCCGGTTTAATATTCTTTTCTGCGTTTAAATTAAGCTCGCAAATGAATTCCACTTCTTTTTGCAAATCCAAACCTAACGATTCAACTGCAACTCTTGTCGGTTTCGCATGTAAATGAGGTTTAAACTTCTCCTCGCACAAAGGTTTTTGCAGCAAATAATATTCCGTCACTACGTCCCACGTTGCTTGGCAAACAGCAGCTTTTAATTTTTTAGATAAATTCTCAATATTCACTTTTCCTTGCTTCCAAAGTCTAAATTCCAGATAAGAGTTCGGCAAAGTATCCGTAGATTCCAATATTTTCGAACTAACATTTCTTTCGTATTGAGCAGTTTCAAATATTTTCGCAATATTACTCTCAAGAGAATTAATCTCATCGACATCGGATTTATAAACAATAGCCAAAGCGATACAAGCTATGCCACAACTTCCGGAAGATGGACTACGACTTTGGTTGTAAATAAAAATATTATCGATATTTTTGCAGGCTTCAGTTTCGGTATAATCATTAAAATGATATTCCGGCCTTGCATCAGTGTACTTGGGAACATTCAAAAACTGCAGTAAATTTTGCTTCAGGTAATGAGCAAACGCATTAGACGCTAACCATTCCAAAGCAAATTGCTGAACGGACATCTAGGAGAAGTTCGCTGATTTAGTAGGGTAGTCCCAGAATTAGAAATACTCAACCGAATAATAAACCGAGAGATTGACAATAGATTTTGAATAATAATTTTTATTTATTTTATTTATAATTATCTATTAATCTTTAATATTTATTATATTTATTTGATTATTATTCTATTTATTATTATTTATTTAATTAATAATTAATTGTAAAGAAACCATGAGTTTTTAGTTATCATATAAATAACTAAGAAAAAAAAAGAATTATAAATAGTATACTTGCCTAATATTCCAATGCGAATAAATTACATAACAATTTTATTTCTTACAAAAATAATTCGTAACATTAACTTTCTTCTTTTATTATTAACACTTCATTTGGCGAGTCGATTGATTTTATTATTTTATAATTATTATAATTAAAGTCTAATAGCTAAATTAACAATTAAAACAGAGTCTTATTTAAAACTTTTGCAGGACCATAGAATATTTTTATAGATTCGATTTATCAATTATTTCATAAAGCAAACATAATGCTTATTTAAATTAACAGATTGCAATTAATGAAAATAATGAATAATTTAACAGAAGTTTTTTTTTTATTTATATATATTACTTATTACTTATATTTTTATTTATTAGTATTACTATTTCACAGTTCGCCAAAAAGACTTTACCAAGAATTTTACTCACTACTTCATTAAGCCAGTCAATTTCTATAAACACATTTTTTTACTAAAAATGGTAGCGATCTTTTGTGAAATAGATACGTAAGAAAAATAATAAATCCTTATATATTTTACGCCAAACAAGCTCTAAAAAGAGATCAAGTGTTATACTATACAGGATAATTCATAAAGAATGGGCAATCTCTAAGCTCCAAAATATTATGATTGAGTTTAACATCAACATCAACATCACTTGAGAAAATTTTTACACTATAACAATTAAATTAGCAATTTCGAATTCAAAACTTATTTGGACGTGCTCCTAGAGGGAGCTAGTTACACCGTATTATTTAGATAAATCCAAAATTGTTATTTTTAAATATTGCTTTTTAATTTGCTTTCCGTACATTTTCATCTTTTAAGAAAAAAAATACCTTGAACTTTTTAAATGCAAATAAGCCAAAAACCGACAAACAGCCTAAGCCGTTAATTAATGAAAAAATTGAAAATGAAATTTTAAATTTTCAATGGTCTGTATCTCCGAAACCAAACATTTTGGTCAGTTCATAAATTTCCTATTCTTTATGAATCACCCTGTATATTGTCTTAACCGACGTTAATTTATTTAAATATATGCGGAATATGTAATGTAAACATGCAAGTAAAGTGAGTTTTAACGACAATCTTGAATCACTTAATAATGCGCTTTTAATTTTTGTTTACATTATTTTTAAAATCCAATATCCAGCGTTTATCTCACGGTCCCTATATGACCATTAACGAACTTACCCGGATCGTTTGGTCGGGCTTATGGAAAGGTTTCTGTATAAAATGAACATCTTCAGGTGTGAGCGGACACATGGCATTTCTAGCTAGCATAACGGACAAAAAATCCAAAACAGCATCGTCCAACCTATTCTGAAGAACCTGAACCAAATCATATCGAACGTCGCTGCCAGCTGTCGTAATCCCATGCACTCTTAAAACCAATAAATCTTCGCTGACTCTATATTCCTTTTCCGCAAAAGTTCGACTTTCTCTTTCTCCGAAAGATCTCACTCTAGGACGAATTATATCAGACTGCAATAAAGGCAAATTTTTAAAAAATCCAAATTCTTTTTCTAACGTCCTTACAAGAACTATAGACGAAATGCTCTGATCCGATTGAGCTAAACTATGTTTATGTCCTAACGGTAAAGACACAATGGATGGACTTCTCGATACAAGTTCATTTTCACTTTCTATCGTTCTCGGCGTCATATTTTTGCTAATCACTGCACCATTGACGCTTTCGTACAGCCTAGAAGTGTTTATTAGAAAAAGAAAAAAAAAGGGGGGGAGGTTATTATTAGCACCTTAAGTAAAAAACATTGCCTTCGTTGTCGCTGTAAACAAACATATTGTGCCTATTCAAAACGGAGAACTTGTCCAAAAAATTTTTCAAAGCCAAAATGCCTCTCGAAACGTTCGATTTGCCACCCGAACCGCTTTTCAACCGTGGATGTAGGATAAGGGATTTTTCCCAAACTATCGGACAACTGAAGTACCCCGGCTTGAAATTCAAAGACGCTTCCGACATAGAAGTCGAACATACAGCCAAATCAGAGTCGTCACTAGAATCTGGTGGAAGAAAGTTAGCACAAAGTTACATAAGAATCCCGGAACGTACCATCCGGATGTTTTAACTTATTATAGGATGGATTTCTAGATATCGAGGGATTAGTTTGTGGACTATCATCGGGCTCTAAAACAAGGTCGCATGTCTTGGTTTCGTACAAGGACTGTAGCAACAACAATTGATTGACTTTTTTACACAGACTTCTTATAGAGTCGCAAAGCGTTTGCTCAATTTCTAAATACGCATCCACTATGGTTGTCGGCAACTCCAAAAATCTGGAAAATATAATTCCAATTTTCCGGAAAATCTAATGGTACCCACAACAACCCACCTACAGTGAAAATATACAGTAACCATATCTTGTTCGACTTTCATTATCAGCCAAAAATTAGGTAAATGTGGTCGCTTATTACTTAAAGCATTCAACCAGTCGAAATTGTCATCATCTTCGCTTATATCCTCATCATATCCTAGAAGTAACAGTTAACAATCTCGAACCTTGTCATGATAAGACAAACATACCCCCATCTGTCCCCATTTCACTGTCGTGCGTACTAATATCACTTTGCTGCGATATAGTGTCATCTTTATGCACGTAAAGATCATTTAAAATTGGGGAATCCGCTTTAAATAATTCGTGTACATCCAGAGGAAATACGTCACGTATATCCTGATAGTCGTGAATCGGTATTAATTCCTCGCTCTTGTCACTTTTGCAAAAATAATAATAACCGTATTTTTGGCAAAGCTTATACCCCTCTGGAAGTGCCATTTTACTAAATTCGTCGATAAATTTGACGCGGCTTTGACTTGTAGTGTACACAAAATTTAAATTAATTTTATCTAACCGGCAAGTTATTCTCATTGGGTATCCATCCAATACATGTTTTGTCACAAAATTAAAAGTATCATTATCAACGCTGTCCAAATCTAAAAGGGTCGCGCATATCTCATCCGTTAAAATCCATTTAATTTCATCACACAAATTGACTACTGCCTTTTTCTGAGGTTCTGATAGATTTCTTAGACGCGTTTGTTCTATATATCTATAATTGAAGCAAAAATATGAACACCACACCACTAAACTATAGTATAAGTTTTGACCATCCCAAAAAACCTCCAACAAAAGTGAGTAATAGTTTTCCATGTGGCCAATTTGCATTAAACACACCATTTTTCAAAAAAAAGAAATAAAAACTTACTCTGAAGCGCAACTGGTATCAGATATGGAACTAATGCTTCTCTGGATACCCTCTGAGCAGAAGGACGTCGTTCGCAGACCTTGTGCCGAATATTCCATAGTAATATTCTGAATATCCGGGGGAAGAGTAAGGCAAAGAATATCCAGTGTAACACGAAGCTTGCATGATTCCAGATACTCTACAGTTGAGTCCAAATTCTGAATAAGTTCTCCTAAACATGTCGGCAATAATCTGATGGATGTATTTGCATGGCCGCCATCATTGTATCTTAATGTACAAATCAAATGCAAAAACAAAGGGCTGAGTTCGCTGAACTTTGGTAACTCGGTCAAAGCTTCCGAACAAGTGCTAAAATCTTTTTCAGACTTAAATTCGACATCTGACACAGATATTTCATCATCGCTGTCGTTTAAAGCACCCTTTGCCTGAATATCCGAAATATGTTTGTAGTAATAGTATTCTGAGTGAGTTGGAATCCGATTGAAGGACGAGGCTATCATTTTAAAGAACTTATCTTTTATAAGCATGTGAAGGGGCTTCAATTCACTGCAAGGATGAGCTTGATGTAAAGTCTTAATCGACAATTTATCCTCCTTATTTTGCTTTAAGTGGGCACATACGTGGCTAATATATTCTGTTATATCAATTTCTATAACATCATCTTCACACATATCCATCACCGCCTGAACATCGCTAATATGTACATAAATGTCCATATGCAAAGCCATAAACAGGGACTGTGTGAAACATTTTAAATGGGATAAAACTAGGGCAGTGCAATGTTCCTTCACGTTTTTTAAATCCGGTGGGTCTGCTGTATCTTCGGAATTTTCGTTAGCATCCCCACTATTAAGCCTAAAAAAACGCAGCATTTAACTTTCCAAAATTATTTTTTTTAATGTCTTTAATAAATAGATATTATCACAATTTTAATTAAATATTATTAAAGAAATAAATATATATGTATAAAATTAATCTAACATATTTATAAATATTTTACTGTCGTTTGTCTAATAAAAGTACTTTACTAACAATTGTATCCGATAAAGGTAAACGGAAAAAAGACATTACCAAACGATCCAAAAAAATTTTCGGCATCGATATTCAACCTGCGCATGCGCTGGTCATTTTAAACGTGGTTGTCAGTTTGTGAGTTTGAGCATTTTGATTGTAGCTGTGGCATTTTTCCATTACATTTTCAAGAAAACACGAAATAAGCGTGTGGAGGTCGCTTTTTTTTACAGTGTAGGTTAATAAGTGAAGTCGAACCGCTTAACGGGAGACTATTTTACCGCATTTCGATCGGCATATTTAATTTATCTAGTACCCATATGGGAATACTTGATACTGTTGATAATATAATTTGTACAATAATCCACTAAGCAGAGGGTGGTCAAAATGACGTCATTTACCAAACACCAAATGACGAAAGTGATGTTGAATTGACTTACTAATGTCTCAGACGAATGATGTCATTTAAGTGACGTCTTTTTACGTTAATTACTATCGTCAATTTTTGTCACTTAAGTGAAATGTTTTTTACGTCAACTTAAAATCAGATTTTGTTCTTTTTGCCTTGGGGAAAATCGAAACTAAATCGCACAGAAACTGCCGATTTAAATTACATAGAATATACTAACGGAAGTATAATATTATATTTTTATTATTATATTTTTCATTTCTACTCACCCTGTATAAACGATTCGAACTAACTTCAAGTATAGGAAAAATAACTGTACTGTACCAAATTGTTGGCATAATAAAATTACAGCTGTCAAAAACGAAACGGCGTCAAAAGCATAAGGTATTGGACAAAGTGCATATAACCATAACAATCCTACGTTAGGTTATTAAATATAAAAGGAAGTATCTAATAATATCATATATACAGGGTGTTCCATTTAAAAATATAAGTTTGATTTCCCACATATTTATGAATCACCCTGTATATTCCAAAATATTTTTTAATTGTTTCTTTTAGTCTAGTCTATAACTTTTATATTTAACATTTTTCTCTAAAAAAAATCCAAATTGACACCTTCTAGTTAGATATATTCTCCTACATCATGGTTTTAAATAGAAAAAAGAATCAAGTCATTTTATGACGACAGTCGGAGGTTATTTTTGTGATGAAGACATCCTTTTTTTGACGTCAATTTGAGGTGTTTTTCGGACTACTGGCGAGTAGCGACCACTTATGGTTCGAAAATTACGTCACTTTGACGAACCTCTGCAACGCGGGAAAGCAAGACGTAATGACTAAATGTTAATAAAAATTAATAAAAATTACCTGATGCAGTCCTCTTGAATAAAATCTGAGAATTTGAACCGATGATCTTCAAAGTAATCGTCCACTTTACGGTGGTTCGCTAGATGATCGCTATCTATATATGAATTAATAAGTAGCTTCAATGGACAATCATACACATAAATTGGAAGACAAGCAGAATTGGGAGTGTTGAGGGGTACATCGCTAACATTACTGCTCCTTGAAGGTGTTCTTTCAACGGTTTCGACATTTTCATGGACTGGAATGTTATGCGATTGCTGGCCTACGAGATTAACGAGATCCTCTACGGAAGCCGGAAGAAAAGTTAGTATAACATGGGTAACAGAAACTCCTCTCAAAAAACATTTCCACATTACGCTCCGGTCGGGTTTGATTGTTTTTTCAGCAAGAGGGCAGGAATGGTGAGATTTGTCCACGTGCCTTGTGAAAACTTCTTGAGTAAACATATCACATTTTTCTTTATCTAGCTCTATTTCTTTACTGTGCAATAAGCGAAAAATTTGAAATATGCTATCCAACAAAATGCTGTTGGCATTATTCGTATTACGGTTCTTAGCTGTACGTTTTTCTTCCTTTAACACGGAAAATAATAATTCAGTCTGCCGACACATCGGTAAAATACGAACAGGGTCGAATTTAAATGGAATGTGTTCAATACGTGGTGTAACTATCGGATACCACGGCGATCTGAAACCCTTTAAATATTATCTCAACACACTAAACTTATTTATCGATTTTACCCATTTTCAGGTACCTCTGGGCCTTCTAAAAAACGTATTTTTTCAATCCTACGGGCGAAATCTTTTTTCACAGAACTATTAACGGCAGTACTCATAGTCGCGTCACTTGGACTCTTGTCTTGACACATGAGACTCATATGTTCCATAGTGAGCAAAACATTAATGCACCGAAAATCCACTCTACTTATCTTAAAGTATTTACCGCAAATAAGATACTTTTGTGAAAAAAATATTAACCTTACCGCATCCGCAATTTGATAATAATTCCTGTGGTCAATATAATTTATTCTGGAGTTCGTTGGTATCACTTTTCCATGGTGTGGCTCTATCCAAACTTCTGTGATCATTTGCATTTCCCCTTCGACGTCGGAAATATGTTCATTTTCATCATCTGAAGTGCTATAATAATCCTCCCCCCACCATGCACAGTGTGGGGGAAACAAAACATATTGAACAATACAGCTAGCTTGTGGTTCCAACGTCACTTCCAAAACCATCGTTACTATACCAGATGATGAATGAGCAAAACTGTAACCTTCATTCAATCTGATTCTGAAATAATCATTTTCAACAAATCAAAAAATTTTCTTTACCAAGTAACGGTGTTCAACTCAATATATTAAATCACTATTTGTAGGAACATGTTCTTGGTTTGCGTTCTCTCCATATAGCTACTAGATGATAATATCGACATGAAATTTTCAAGAAAAACTTGAGTTAACGAGTTAAAAGTGTGAACATTGCTGTTTAGAGAGAAAATAAAGCAAAGTAAGTTATTGTGTGTAATTTAGGAGCAGCGCTGTACGAAAATGTTATGGCCGTGTGAGACGTGAATTTTACGGCACCATATTGTTTGGTAGCTATATGGTGCTATGCTAATATATATAAATTACCTGGTCAATATATTTAGTATCCGTGAAAGTGACGCATCCGAGAGTCTATTATTGGGATAATAAGTTGCACTCCATATCCATCTCTTGTGAAACAAATAACGTGACAACGTAGTAAATAATGACCCATGAACAGGAGATAGGAAGCAATTGGAATTTTGAGGAGGTTGCGTGCCATCCGGAAATATAACTGTGGTATAATTGCTGGGTATCCGTTCATATCTAATTAGAATTTTCTCCAGGGGCTTTTGTAACAACACGCAACAAGGGGCACCTTTATTTTTATGAGTATTAGCTAAGTAAGATAATGAAGAAAGTTCAATTTTCAGTTCTTCACAGACCTAAATTATAAATAAAGCAAATCAGCTAATGTTTGGAAAACTTAAAATCTAACTTACTCTGTGTCTGATAAATCCAGATGTATTGGTAGAAAAGGCTAAATTAAGTACAGCACATGGAAATTTTGAGCTAACTCTAATAATGCAGAATCCTATAGGTGATTTATCATAATCTCGTAATAAAAGTCTAACATATGTGTGGTTATCCAGTAAGGCAAATGACGACCATTCCCTCAACATTTCATACAAGGCTGTTACTGCTTGTCTGCATTGCACAACCTAAATTATTTAAGGAAGAAGTAGGAATCTTGTTTATAAAAAAGCACAATTTAGTTTAGGTACCTGATATCTTTGGGAGGAATTTGCTACATGTAAATGTTTTGGTAAAGGAGTATCGTGCCTTAAAATAAGAGAAATCTTGTGTACATGAAACCACTTGCGCCAATTATTGGTTTCCATTTGACAAATGTTTTGCCATGCATTTGCGAATTTTAAGTAAGATGTATCCCTAAAAAAATGTCATTTACCAAGTTAAAAATTTAATTTTACAATCAATAGACCTTGGACTTAAGCTTAACTTTATTGAGTCAGAAAAGTTAGCATTGTTTGTAGTAAACACTGAAATACCGTTCTTTACACTTTCAGGTAATGTATACCAGTCTTTACTGTGCTGAAATCCACTCAGCTGGCAAGCTAAATTTAAATCACCAGAGGAAAGCTGACTTAATCTACTCCAAAACCTCTGTGTGATCACCTGCCTATAGGCTGATTTAATCTCCTTTTTAATAAGACAAGTCATATCATGAAGAAACTCGTAAGGAGCTGAGAAAATAACATCAATCACTTCATAGGTAGCACTATTTAAAATTGCTTTGCCTCACCTGAAACATGCACCTCAAAATGGGTTGAATTCTTGTTGGTAGGCCAGGTGGAACTTAAATTGTAGTGAATGTAAATGGAGGCTTTCCACTGAAGTATTAATTTAATTTCCAAATTGTTGTTCATGTAAAATATATTCTACAAAAAAAATGCGATTAGAGTCAAAACAAAACCATTAAAAAATAAAGTAATTTACATCAACAGTAAATCCTTCCCTCATTCTTCTAGCTAAAAGTAGTAAAATAGAAGCATTTGTACTTTCTTCAGTCTGTCGTTTCGATAATAAAGTAGGCAATTTCTGATAGAAGAATGACTCATTTCTGAAAAGAAAATTGCAATAATTTCATTAAGAATATCAACTTTCTTGTATTTACTTACATTGAGCTATCACAGTTCTTTAAGAAGGCAAGGTTATTAGTACTGTGGAAGGACCATAGCAAAAAGATTTCTTGATAAATATTTATGGACAAAGATGTGTCATGTGTCTACAAATATACTATCAAATACACCAATAAGGTTCATGGCAAAGTACACTCACCACGGCAGGAAATATCTCTAAACATGTACCCAGGGTACACTGAGAAAAAAAATAAAGTAAATCTGTATAAAACACAAATCCAGCACTAAAGTTAGGGCGGAAATTAGATCCCACTTTTAAAAATGAAACTGATATGGCATCATAATGCAATTGAAATAGCAATGTTTCCATTACATTAGAGTCGGGCATCGCAACAATCCCATCTGTAATGACTAGAATATCTAAAATTAAATATATTTTAGAGTGTGAATCAGAAAAACTGCCTAAGATATCCTTGAGACCAATATGAAATATTAAGTTGGGCCTCTCAATGTTAAATGCATTGTTAAGCTCTAAAACAAAATACTTACGACTTAAAGTAGTTTCTGGTAAAAGAGATATGGCTAACATTGAGTACCTAAGCATATTAACAAAATTTGCATCAGGTGTCACCATTGGTATTTTTGGCATTTTCCTGGATTCAGGAATGTCAAACAAATCACCCACAATTCCCTCATAAGATGCCTAGAAGGATTTTAGAAAATATAAAAATGTAAAGCATAATAATTTATACTGTACTCTCTGAAAATCAATCTGATCTAATGCTGTTGCACATACATCAGCAATTTTCCCTTCCAGCATATGAAAATGTGTTTCAACACACTTAATTATCTCAGTTACATTTTTTGGAGTCATTTGAATTCCTTTCAATATGACTTGCTGAGCAGGAGTGATAAAAAATGGGGTATTGGCCATAATAGTTAAATAGATGCAAGGCTGAAAAACTAATGTATTCCCTGGTACAGTGAACTAAAACAAACTTTCAATTTTAATAAGATGTTACAATATTAAGCAAATACTAACCTGTTTGGATAATCCATGTATGCTATTTTTAAAACATTGAAGAATTTCATCAAAGAGGACTTGTCCCTTAAATAAATCAACATTTGAATGACTGGGGCTCATATCTAAGCAATAAACAAATCTGTAACTATGTGCTACAAATTTTAACTCAGTGCGGTATGTAACTAGAAACCTATTGCATTTTAAATTTGGATTCTGTTCCCTTGGTATTGCAGAGATAACTTCCAAATGTTGGGCATTGTCATACTGAAATTGAATCATGTCACTTTATAATAAAAAACTATTTAAGCATGTATTTACTGATTTGGGATTTGGGAGACTAATGGTGGTGTTTAAGTGATCCAAAAGCCATTGTAGCCTAGCAGCACGTGAAACTGGTACATTTTTTGGCAGTAACAAATAAATAATCTTTGCTTCAAGAAATTCGGGCTGAATGTCTTGACTAAAAAGGAAATCTTCTGGACAATACCGCCCATGCTCTAAAATGTGAATTAAAAAGTCTATTATGCCTGTTGATAAATAATCACCAGAAACTGATAATTCAACACCTTCATCTGAGCACTGACTTTGAGAGTCAAATTCCATTATAATACATATTCTAAAAATTATCTAGGTGTGTTAGAGATCTGCTGCAAAGAAATTGGGTGATATATAGCTAGGGGCTGCTATGAAAGCACTGTATCAATTTGCTGTCCAACAAAGAATTTATAGTTCATACATTTAAATTAAGTTGTCTTTATGCCGAGATAAGTCAACAAAGTCAACAAACAACTACTCCCTATCGGAAAAATATAAATAACCATTAGTAAAATTAGCAAAACAAGTTACATCATAAAACATAACCTAAGTCAGTCTTTGTCATGTTTCTGACAGTACCGACAGACAATTCATAAGACACAATATACAGTTTGGTCAAATAAACTCCTTTTGGCGAGTGTAATGAAGTAGAACGGGCTTTTTACTTTAATTAGAAATTTTAATTCATTTTATAGGCAATTTTCGAACGGTATTTGCGACATGTCAAGATTTATAAATTGCGGCAAGAAATATGCAAATAATGAACACGAGTTACAAATCACAGCATAGTAAATCGCCTTTATTAATTGCAATATTTACAAATTTCTATTCGCCACTCATATTCAAAATTAGCCCATTGAAAATGTCGACTTATCTGGGGACTCTGTAACAAGTTGAGTATAAAGGCCTAGAGATGTAATTTTCAACCTTCATAAGGGGGCGTGTCCGTGTAACCTTTAAATGTAAATAAAATCAAACTCTGCGTTAACTTTGAAAAATATATTTAAATAACAAAGTTTATAACAAAACCATATTATTAATGAATACTGAAAAAACTACAAAAAAATAAGCTATGGTATAAAAATAGGACATTAGATCTACCAATTTGCGTTGGAGGGAGATAAACAAATAAAAAAAGATAATTTAAGTAAATACTAAGTTACTTTAACTTAAAACACATAATATTCACATTTGTATTTCACCTATGCAAACCTTAAGTGTTGCATACATTGCCATATTATTCATCTACTTTCACAATTTTGTCTACCCAAATCCTACATTTTTTAATAATATTCCTAAATATGGCAAAAAATGAATTAAAAAAACACCTTTTTACATTAATAAGTATTGAGTAGTTATGGTAACTTAAATGTTTTATGGTATATTATTCACAAAATAGAATAGGCTGTAACCGAGTTTCACTGGTTCCTGTTTCTGTTAGAAATGCTGGAACATACCAGCTTTGGTGAATGGGCAATAAAAGTGAAGATATGTTCATAATTGTTAAGGGTTATTCTCCTACTTCTTGTGCAATCTGAAGTCATATACAATTTGACAGTACAACCATAAATCTTCATCAACTTAATTATAGTATGGTTTATGGACATTGAAAAAATTCAACTTTAGTGACTACCAAAAATTAAACAGAAACTTTTATGTTAAGTATTTTAATTTTTTTTTGTTTTTACTCATCCTTCCTGGGTTCCAAAATATCTAAAAACATTAATAATTCTTGGTTTTCAATGCTTCAAAAATAAAAACCTCTTTGGCCCAGCTGTGAATAAAAAAATGAAATAAAATAACAAACATGAACTCACAATGGACTAGTTGTTTGGAGTGAAAAAACAATTCATTGAAAATAAATGATTTATATGCCACTTGTTGTCTGAGTTGCTGGATCTTGGAACCAAGTAGTCTCTTTGTACAAAAACCATAAATCTGCAGCCCATAAAAAGAAATTTAGAAATCCAAAAATCTAAAAATAAATATATTAAAAATTATGAACTAAAAAATTAATTAAATGTATAAATACCACAGATATATTGAGAGTAGAATAGCTACTGTTACTAGTTAAAAGGCAGCACTCAGGAGGTTTGATAATAGGGCCTTGGGTTGCTGATTTTAACCCTGTTAATCCATTTGCCCATGCTGCACTGCTCGATACCCACAGAACTCCAAAAAATACGGTAATAAGGAAATCCTAAATATTAAAAAACACCATTAAAAGACTGTGTTCTATCATGTCACAATTAGTAAACTTACATAGAGAGGCAACTTTTTGTTTGTTTTGTAAGCCTCATCCATTTTTGCATATACAAACATAATTCCTAAAGCATACAACATTGCTAAGACACCAGTCGCCACAAAAAATTTGGCATCAGAAGAAAAATCATTTTTTACAGATATTGTACAATTGCCATTTTGAACAACTATTTCCTCGACAACTGAAAACGGATATGAGAAATCAATCTTTTCCTCTGTGCAACTGAATATGATATAACCACTGTAGCTTGTGATAGTTGCGAATGCACATATTGAAAATATCTAAAATTATAATTGCCTTTACTGTTACTTTAAGACGGCCCACACTATTAGGTTCAATAAATTGTATGGTCAGAACTTACAAAATGTAGAATTCTCATGACTCCTCGAGGCTCTTGAAATGCTGATAAATTAAAATCCATTTTGCTTTATGAAGTATATCTAAGCAGATATTAATAGGCTAAAAAATAGGGGTATACACAAAATGTTCCCAATTAGAGAAGTAAACTTTTGTCTAAAGTTTTAATTAATAGCCTCCCCTTTCTGAATATTATGCTAAACGTAAAAACAATTATTTGACGGCATGAAGGAGTGCTTCTAATGATGAGTAAAAATTATTATTAACTGTCACCGAAACTGGCGGAATGTTATACTCTGGATCGGCTCACACCATACACCATGGGTCGACTTGATTTTTGATTTTTTTAAATTTTATTTATTTATTATTTTTTCAGAAAATATTTTTGAACAAAATTTATCGCAATGCAACATAACTATAGCAATTATATTGGAAAAATTTTGGCTGGTTATATACACAACCTACAAAGAGAAATAACTTGTCACATTGTTTAAATAATAATGGCAATAGTTAAACTTTTAATTTTATTAATTTGATCTAGTATTCTATTTTGTAAAAGACTGCAATGTCCACATTAAAATTTTGAAAATCCCGCGTTTCCGACAACAAACGTCACTTGGTCAATAAAAGATGGCGTCAACCATCGTCGTAACATTGAATTTTTTTAAGGGTTCTCGGTGAATTAAACGATAGATTAATAAGCCTTATGTTATCTTATAAGATAGCTACTAGAAATATAGAGGCGCTGCCTATGCCAGGAACTTATGAAGCAACTACGAAAAAAACTATAAAAAAAAGTCCATTCAACATGCGCATGCACGAGATTTGAAATCTCGTTTTTAACCAATGGCAATGCGGCATTCTGCCACCAACAGGGGCATTAGATGATTGTTAATAAGTGTGGATGTGGTATTTTTCCGGCAGTATTTTGTCAAATTATCCCTAGATCTCGTTAAAACTTCTTTGAAAACGAGTTAATTGTGAGGAAATCGTTGTTTAGAAAAAAATAGTCTAAGTGTAGGTGAGTGAGTGAAATGTAGAGGCATGCGCGGAAAATAATTACCTTCTCCACGAAAATATCAATCCCACCTGCGGCGCATCAATTTTTAGCGTAGTAAGACCACTGTATTAAATTATTTAACAGCTATATAGTCATAACAACTTGTCAGCGTTCAAAAAATTATGTGCCATTTTTTACAAGCAGATTTACATAGCAGCACAATCATTAATTAATAAAGTGCTATCTGAATAATACGTCTTAATAATAAGGTAAAGTATTCTTTTAGTACTTTTTTTTTGTTTGATCACTTTCACATTGTGTGAAATAAGAAATACTATTAACTTCTGATTCTAAATCAAACGGCATTTTTGTTCCATGTCAAGCAAAAACCCATACGCCTTCGCCGACTATGTACTGCTGTCAAATTCCCGAACATTCGTGTGCGTTCTAGATATAACATTTAAATATAAAAGAAAGTTGCGACGCGCATCAACGGGAGAGTGTTATTCACTTCGAAATAGACTAAACTAATCTGCAAGCGATTTTGACGTAGGATTTTGTGTTGTGTGCATCGTTAACATCTGTTCGTGTGTTAATTACTTTCCGTGAGTGTTATACAAAATGGGCAAAGATTACTACAAGATATTAGGAATTGCCAAGGATGCGAATGATGACGAGATCAAAAAGGCCTATAGAAAATTGGCTCTTAAGTACCATCCGGATAAGAATAAATCACCTGGAGCAGAAGAGAAGTTTAAGGAAGTGGCTGAAGCTTATGAAGTGCTTTCGGACAAGAAAAAGCGTGATATTTATGATACTTATGGCGAAAAAGGATTGAAGGGTGGTGCGGGAGCAGCAGGTGGCGGCAATGGAGATGCAAACAACTTCTCCTATACTTATCATGGCGATCCGCGGGCGACATTTGCTCAATTTTTCGGAAATTCAAGTCCATTCTCTGCGTTCTTTGATTTTGGCAACAATGGAAGAATGTTTGGGATGCACGAGGATGATATGGATGTTGATGATCCATTTTCTGGTCCTTACGCTATGGGCCCTGGTGGCCCACGTGCTGGTCCAGGGGGGGCATTTAGAAGCCATTCCTTTAACTTCCAAAGCCCTAACAGAAACAAAGATAAAATTCAGGACCCAGCTATAGAGCATGATCTGTATGTCTCACTGGATGATATCACCAAGGGATGTGTCAAGAAGATGAAAATTAGCAGGAGAGTATTACAACCAGACGGAACAACAAAGAAAGAAGATAAGGTGTTAACCATCAATGTGAAACCAGGATGGAAAGCTGGAACAAAAATTACATTCCAAAAGGAAGGTGATCAAAGTAGAAATAAAATTCCTGCAGACATTGTTTTCATTATTCGTGATAAACCCCATTCTCTCTTCAAACGTGAAGGAAGTGATATCAGATACACAGCAAAGATTTCACTTAAACAGGTAAATATATTTATATAAAAGATTGGCCTTTGTTTTATTAAAATTTTGCACTCAGTTTTATTATAAAATTAGGATTTCAATATTGTTCTAAATTTAGCTTTACTTGACCTACTCTGACGCCAGCAACCAAAAATAATGTCGTGGCTATTTTAGGTCCTTACCTACTCCCATGTAGTTTTTATCGGAAATTTAAATTTATATTTTTTTTTTCAAAATATTTATTTTGCGCATTTGTTTTAGGCTTTGTGTGGGTGTACAGTGGAAGTTCCAACAATGTCTGGTAAAACAATTCCTTTACATTATACCAATGAAGTGATAAAACCAAACACAGTGAGACGCATCCAAGGTTATGGATTACCGCTGCCCAAGGAACCATCACGTCGGGGTGACCTAATTGTTAATTTTGACATCAAATTTCCTGAACAACTGTCTCAATCGGTTAAAGATATTTTGTATGATACTTTACCAAATTAACTGAAACTGGAGTATATTTATTAATTTAAATTGTGTGAATGGTGTTGTACGTTTTAGTACAAGTGTGGGAGGTGTAAAATTTTATAATTTTGTTTGTTAATTCAGAATAATTGTTTAGAGTTTATTATTACTTTAGGTTTAGTTAAATCCGCCCAATTCAGGTGGATACTATTTATATTCATAAATCAATATGGGCAAACTATTAAGGTAAAGATTTGTTACTTTACAAGAACTGTTTACAACTGGTCTGAAATATAGTTCAATAAATTATTTTTTATGTAAAGTGTTTGTTGTGCTTTACTTAATGGAATTTTAACATATAAAAATCACCTAACCTCCATTTTTCAGTGTTTGATAACTTTTGGTTAATTATTAATGCAACGCAATTTGTTAAAACTATAAATAAATTATTACAGAAGCAATAGTCTTATTAATTTGATAAAATAGTGAAATTTTTGCGGGTGGTATTATCAGAAAAAAAACTGCTCCATGCACTCAACATTAATAATTTGTTTCAAAGGGTAAACAAAAAACTGGCATGAATTAAACGGTCAATTTAATTTTTAAAAACAACAGTATGGAGAATCTCTTGTATATTAATAATTAACTCGCCATGTTTGTTTAAGAATTTGACTAAAAATTATTTAATAATATTAATTTTAAAGGCGACCGTTTCTTTTTAAATAAATATTAGATCGCAGAATTGAGTCAATAAAGGTTGAGTGAATTTTTTCTGGGATAATGGTTTTATTTCCATTTTAGAATCAATGTCACCATACCGACGATGGTTTTTTGTCGGTGAAATTTTAGGGTCATTGCCAATGAGAGTAATAATGTAAAAGTTATGTGAAACATCACAGTTTTTAAAATTAGTAAATTTATGAAGCGGAGGGTTAAAATTCTTTAATGCAATAAAATTTGCATCGTTTAGCAATTGGGAGGAGTATCCTGTTATTTTATTCGACTCTGAGTAATCATGGCCTAGAACTCCCATATATGGAGAGTTAAAGAGTTGGCGGCCAATATGATCTATATGTACCAAATTATATGGTCACATGCTGAAGAAATGAGTAGGTATATTCGGCCTTTGCCCACGCAAGCAATTTTTCAAATTTAAAAATATCGGTTTCATCTTACCGTTTATAATCTTATTTTAACCCGATATATTTTTTAACAACCGTTTTATTTTCATATCCATTTTATTCTAGCTGTTCAATAAACGTAATCATTTGAATAATAATACCCAATCAAATTCCAAAGTTTACGTCACCGTGACGAAAATCTAGAAAACCGTGGATTATTTGGACGCAATCTGTTATCGTGTATTTTCAACAAAATGTCAAAGTGTCGTCACGTTTTATGTGCGGTCGAAATGCGCATTTGTATGGGAACGGCCAAGTTTTGGGCGTGTTTCATATGTTCGATTCCGAGTTAGGTATTTTTCATCTCTTACTTAACTGATTCGATGTGAATCGACAAACGATAGCACAGCATACGATATATTAAAAGTGGATGGTTGGAAGGCCCTAAAACAATACACAACACCAATTATTTTTAGAGCTGTTTACTGTTTGGAACAGCTTCGGATACTTAGCGCTTATTTCATTTGCGCCAGTTTAATTTTTTATTTTATGCGTTAAAATATATTAATTTTTTTCTTTATTTATAAAATATATGGTAATCCAAGCCTAATTCATTATTATTATATGTACCAAACCAGCGTCTTAGTTTGAACCAAAAGTATACTTAATTTTTTACAAATATAATTCTATAGCTGCTGAAGTTCTCCCAAGAGCTCGATCTATTCTCAGTGCAAGGAAGGTAAAAGAATAAATGCGTAAATACTGCAAAATTATTTTTATTAACCTCATAAAGACTATCTATATACAGCTGAAACAATAATAGGTATATCAAAATAACTGGTACTTATACATACCACGATTATTACAAATCATTTACGCTCATCATTTGTTTAAAAGTAGAGATTACTCAGCGGAACCGCAATATACCACAAAAATCAATAACAAAATAAGAGGTCTAAAAAATTACTCGCAGGCAAAAGTCGCCAAATTACTATCTTGATGAATGTAAAAGATTTCTATAAAATAAGTACCTATACAAGAAAAAAGTGAACCACCAATAAAGACATAAAAGTACATCTTTAACTGATTAATTTAAATTTTAGGTTGGCGTCCTAAGTTATAAATTTCATGGCAAACCCCGATGGTATAAGTAATCGTAAAAAGTTAGAGCGTAAATTTCACAATTATTATTAGTTTCAAAAAACGGAACCACATAATTCACATAATTTTTAGAGCATAAGAGCATTTATTCTTATTTGTCACACATATTAATCTGATATATTATGGGTTGCAGTGGTGATCTGAAAACTCATTGTAACTTGAAACTCGATTCAATCAATACTACCACAACGGCATCCCATAAATGGAAATTTCGGTGCAATAATTCACATTTTTTTAGGGTTGCTGCGCATTTATTATACAACATATAAAATATACCCTATTTATTGTAGTGTAAGCAACTATGGGAGGAAGCGCTATATAGAAATCTATCAATGAGGAGAACTAGAAGGAAGATAATCGATCAATATTACCGTGGAAGAAGAGATAAAAAACAACTTGTTTTTTTTATTCTACCTATCTCGGGTGATAATCCCAATTACCGGAACATTATCGATTACTTCTGACGCCCAGATCGATAGGTAATTAAATTTTATTGTGCATTTCAACTCTGGGCTACTTGATTTAGCAATTATTAACCGTATCACAATTGGATAAATACACCTGAGATATCGTAGTAATATTTATTATGCGGAAAACAGCGAAAGGACGTTATGGCAGCATAAATAAAAAGATGTGAAAGAATTTGCATTTTTTTCTATTATTTTCTCAGCAATAAGCTATGAAATTTATAGATTAGGCCCGATTATATTGTATTATAATGTACTACTTCTACAAGGAAAAAATATGTGTACCCTAGAGAACTAAACGCAAGACTGCTTTATTGAGCAACTATATTATAATAGGAAGCGATGTTTGTGTGGGCAAAGCTTAAAAAATAGGTGTCCATTTAATAATGTCAAATATTTTTAGACATGTATATAAAAAAAGATATATGTTTAAACTGTTCCATCCAAAAAAGGTCGAAGCGCAAAGAGAAAGATAATTGTAGATGCATTTGGTCGGTAATGAATATTTATATGGTCATTTATACCCACCTACATGCCAAATTTACCATCAACAACCCTTATGTAGATAGGTATATATTTGAAATCAGTGAAAAAGATCTTGAAAATTTAACTTAATGAATCCGTGCAGGTGGCACAATATAAAAAACGACCCTGTTGACGAAAGAAAGTAGTTGTGGTGGAGATCTGGGAAGCCTCGAAATTTTGTTAGTTTCATAATTTTTTTTTAGTTTCTGCAACTTAATGAATGACGTCAAATTCAATTGAAACTCATTAACATAATAACATAATTAAAGAGTTACTCAAATAAAGCATTAAGTCTATAGCGAAAGAATTACTTAGGAAGGTAAAATCTCCCATATTAACAAGACAGGGTCACTGACTGGGACCCCTAGGCGTCGAACCTAAGGCTTAACCAATAAATTAATGCGCCACTAAAGGATGCACCGTATCAGTTTTGGGTTACTTTTTCTGAGTGGGAGAGAGTGTCAATCCATTAAACAAAATGAGTGGAAAACTAACCAACACAGTGAGGGACCCTTCTTACGTTCATGTTGGATGATATATAGGTATGGGTGTTTTTAAACTTCCCAAGTAAACTCATTGACTATTTTCATCCAAGGTAAATATATATACAAAATGAATGAATGAATATATTGATGCAATATTTGTACAACATAAACTGCCGTAAATGGTAAAAAGTCACAATATACAAATAAAATTTTGTAGATATAAAAAGTAGGTTTACACATTAATACATTGGCGGCAAATAAAGAATTATAACAGATAAATTAAAACGGGATTCTCAAGAATAAAAAGTATAAGTCGCCTTGTTGGCTTCGGCGAAAAGCTGACCCAATGAAATATAAATGTATTTCACATAATGAATAAATAAGAACATATTCACAGCAGTTTATGTGGGGGTGATACACAATATTTTACACTAAAATTATAATTATCACAACTGAAACAAGTTTGTAAGAACACATACCAAGGGTGAAACACTTGGAGCTTGTCTAACCACTGAAACATTTCAAATACGAATAAAATACCAATTAGAGATAGATGTTCATTAAAACACTACCGTGGGATTGCAACGGTTATACCTAAGCCAGTAAATAGGGATTTTTCTGTGACAAAAATACTATTTGGATATCGACTGCGACACCGCAAGAAAAATAGTCCAGTTATAGTTCATTATAAATCCTCCCATTCGCAACTAACTTTTTTTTTCTTTCTTGTGGTGGCACGATCGGCATCCGGGTGCTGTTTTTATCACAAAACTCGGTACTCTTTTCCCTAACGACCGGTCTATTGATCTGTCTGTCACTAAGAAATATCTTTCGAAGTGGAAGGCTGAGTCGAATCGGGTGATCGGGGACTACTGGACCTGCTCTCGTCTGGGGTCTCGACACTTTCGAATGTTGTCGTACGCGAACATGCCATACATATATAATCTTCGTCTTCATTGATATCTTCGACAGATAAACCAACGCACGCCATATGAAACCATTGTTCGCAACCGCCATCGCATTGAACCCAGTCTACGTTCTGACCTGTTGGTTTCAAACAACCGTTGGCTGCGCAATCCTCATCCTCGCTATCGCTACTATTCGAAGCGGTAGATTGACATCGTCGCCCTCTACGTTTCCTTTGTTTCTTTTGTAAACCGTCCTTGTTATTTTGTTGTTTACGCCCTCGCATTTTTTTCTCGCCCTCCAATTTCAACGATTTGACCGTTTTTTTAGTCGAATCGACAAGTTCTTCGGATATACGTTTCCGGCCCCTCTTTTTTGGAGCCGGTTTCAAATGCGAGTCGAAATCGATTAACATAATTTCGCGTTCCTCCCTGGAAGCTAACATCAACTTCCACAGAGCGTAAGTTTCGTCCAAATACACTTCAAGTAGGTCACCTTCCATGAGAAGGTCCTCCATTTGTTTCTTAATGTCCGGATGAATTCGCAGGACGTTGTCTTCGTCAGTTTTGGGAAGATGAAGGCTGTAGGCGTGTTCACCCATCCTATCATCCGAATCTCTTGAAGATTCGCGGGAACCATCATCTGAATCGTTAATTCCGCTGTCGCAAGTCACGCCATCTTCGACTACCCCACTAAATGGGGTGATTTCTTGTACTCTTTGGTGTAACTCCGGGTTTTTCGAAGCGCGTTTTAATTCAGTGGAAATTATTTTTTCCGTTCTCTGTTTGGCCGCTGCTTCGGTGCATTTTTGGCTAAGAGATATTAATCTTAATTTTGCTCTTTCAAGCTCAGGATTTTGAAGCAGTTGCCGAGCCCGATCTTGCCAATTCATGGCCCTTTCAGTTAGACATTGCAAAGCTTCGCCTTCCGGTACTCGGACATAAAGTTTTTGCAAGGACATCAGCAGGCTTAAAATTATATCTAGGCGGGGCCTTTTGGTTCTTTGGCAATTTGGGCAAAGATATTTGCAATCCTTAAAAGCGATACTTATGGCGATACTAACGAAGCTGCCTTTAAACTTGGTAGAAGCGACTTTAGGAAGTTGAGTGCAGGAAGAGTGAAACCAGTCTTGGCAAAGTTCGCACTTCATCATTATCCCAAAAACACCTCTGCCGCAAATGCAGTAGGTAGTACCAGCATCATTGGGATCCAAAGTTTTTAACCTGTTTACAATTCGCAACTTTCTAATCATCGACATTTCTGATTCTTCAGCTTCTTTAAACAAAGCCACCACCGTGGCTGGATCCATGGTATTAGTCAAAGCAATAGATTTGATATCCTCATCGATATTCTTGCCTTTTTTAGTATTTTTGATACTATTCGGCAAAACTGTTCTCGGCGATAACGCTTCCATCAGAGTACAGGCCGAGTTCTTTCTTAAAAACGCGCGACTGGTTTTTTCTTTCCAACTATTAGCGAGTATCAAATAATCGTTCATTCTATCTACTTCAACCAAATGAAGGGTCAATTGCCGACCTTTTTTGATTAATTCCTCCATCGCGCTATAATATGGGTAGTATTCGGCAGAGTTCATTTCTTCTAATTGCCTTAACCAATCTCTTCCCTTTTTCATTGCGTCATATAGTATTCCTTCAGAAGGCAAATGGCAGGAGATTTTCGACGCGTCTTTAATTAATCTATCGACTTGTATCAGTACCCCTGCATCTGAAGATTTCATCACCTCCGCAACTTTTTCCTCCCACTCTTGGCTTTGTTGCAATACCAATTGAAGATTCGATAATTCCTCTTCCATTTCCGGATGTGGCGGCATAGAGCATCCTTCTTGAATCTGATTTTTGATAGCATCCAATCCCATTATGTCAGTTTTATTCTTATAGTTCTCTAAATCCTTCATCCATTGGACTTGTCTAATTCTGATGTTAATCAATTTCAACGCCGGAAGTTCGATGCAGAGTCCGTTACCGTGGACTTGACACTCCTCCAAGTCCATTAGAGAATTCTCTCTTAACGACTGCATTAGTAGTTGCTCGCTTTTAGATTCGAACTTTTGCGTCTGTTCTAACAAAACCCTGATGCTTTTGGCCTCTTCTAACACGCACGCTAAACTATCGATTTCTTCGCAAAACAATGTCAACTCTTCGACAGTAAGTTTGTACTTGGCCTCGTTCGAATTCCTAGTCCTCGTACGCATTTTGTTTAAATCTAATTGATGAATAACGCTAGCGCATTTTTCGGCATCTATTACGGCACTCGTGAGTGTCTGCAGTAATTCGCATTTGGGAAACTTCTTCCCGTCTGCTTCATTCAATAGCGCTTTTAAATCAATTAAATTGAGGGTTTTGGGAGTATTTGGATCGAGTGCGTCTTTCACTTTAGCTACCCAATGATCAAATGATTCAGCTTTCAGTTTCAACGCTTTCAACATTACGGGTAATTCGTCGAGGGTGTAGCGATATCTGAGAGTTCTGTTAGTCGGCGGACATTCGCAAAGATTCTTATAGTGTCGTAAACAAACCAAGGTAGTCGTTGAACAAGAGCAAGTCATGGCCGATAAGAAACATGTAGTTTTACATACCTCGCATTGTCTCTCGTCGTCAGGGAGTAATTCGAATGCCTCCCTCTCCGCATTGGTAACCCCCTAATGAAAAATATGCAACCGATAATGTCCAAACTTATTTAATAAATGTAAGAATCTTTAAATCGAAAATAATCTTACCCAATCTAAAAGAGTTTTACGAAGCTTCTTTTCTGTGTCGACCATGACAAGCATGTCCTGATATGTCGCAGCTGCGATCGTGAGATCAAGTTTATCATTGTCCAGCGCCATCTTACATACCAATTCATCATGAGAAAAGACGCAAAACCTTCGTAAATGTGAATAATGTAACACACACTCCCGCCCCATTCTCAACCAATCGGCCGGTGCAAAATTTACGGCCTCAGCGAAATTGTAGCTAAAAAATACAAAGTAAACCATTAAACCACTCCGAAATTTTTCGGCTCCATCGATTTGCGTCTTGAATCCATAAACGATCGAATTAAAGCAAATATTTAGTTAAATTATTAAAAAGTTTCTTCATTTTTTTTTCTCAAATAATCGGAAATGTTTAAAACGTGTTAATAAACCTTTTTTTTAACGGAAGTAAAATAATGATCCTTGTGGCTATGGTTAGGCACGCCCCAAGTAATTTTATATCACTCCATTGTAAATAGGTAATTTCCAGCCGAGCGCTTATGATTTTCTAAACAATCAGAATAGCTGGTACAATTTTGTTTTTTTTTTTAATAGCAAAATAAAATAAGTACGAACCCAGTTTCTAAGTTATAATAAATAGTTAAAAAAATTAGTTTTGGTTAGTTACAAAATAATTATAACGGAGGCAGTTGTGACAGATCATTATGGACAATAGGTTATTTGACAGATTTCTGACAATGACATTTGATTTTTGAATGATGCATAAAGATGTCCTGAAAAAGTATTTACTTTTAATTATTTCATTTATTTCACGTGTTTTCTTCGGATCATTTTAATCTAAGTAAAAATTTTACATTATTTATTAGTATCGGTGGATTCACGCAAGCATTTATTAACATTAACACTAATTTAAAAGTTAGAGTAAAAAGTGAAATAGTTCTTCAACGAATCCAGAGGAACATTCAACTCCATTAAAGAGTTAGGCAGCTTTTAACTTTTCATTAATTTCTAAAGTGAAACCAAATTTGTCTTATGTTTCAAACTCAACAACTGAAAAACCATTTTTGGATTGTTTGTTATTTTCTGCAAGAGATAGAAAGAGATGAAATTATTTACTTTAAAGAACAATTACTTGACAAGTAAACCTGCGCCCAGTTTCAGATTGACTTAAGAGTGTTGTTAATTGATTCAAATTTTGTTAGAGCAAGCAAAAATCCAGCAAAAACATTACTTCAAAATTTATAAAAAATTTGATGTATTGGGTTTTTTTTTTTCAATCTAGGAGCATTCAGAGGATTTGGGAACAGAGATTCTTTTACACACTAAATATCAAAGGTTAATAGGAGTTAAGTTAGCGTTTAGCTGCAATTTACCCGATGAAAAAATTTATAAAAAAAACTGTAGTATCGTAAATACGAGGATAATTCTCATAAAATTTACTTCTACAAATCCATGGTATTCGAAACCTGGGAGGAGATATTTTAAGGAGACTACAATAAATCCCAGTTTCCTCTACAAATTTATATCCCTACATAATTCCTTAACCAAACACAAAGATGAAGGTTCTAATAAAGAAGAAAAAGGTCTAATTATAACTTTTACCACTCGAAATATTTTTAAGAATCTTGATATTGAATATAATTTTAATTTGTACAAGAAAGAGAGGCTTAGGAATATTTAGGAAATAGTAAAAACTATTTTTTTCCTTACAATTATATAATGTGTACAATAAAACTGGTTTATTTTAGATGTAGAATCAACCTTTAAAACCAATTTCCAAACACCTTGTATATAGCAAATAGCCAATTTGTGTTTTTTTCTGTGAAGATCACTTTAATTTAAAGTACAAAATATTAATTATTTACCTGCATTCTGACGACATAATAATTAAATTGCGAATGGTCTGTTCATATTACCTATCTGTGTGACGTTAGATTTCAACGTTGCTTTATTTTCTGAAACCGTTACCTATCACAAGCATCACTATCACCGATTGATAGTCTTAAAATCGCGAAACCTAAAGTAAACATTTTCAATTACACTTATTTAAGGACAAGTGACGTCATCACAGGAATATCAATATAATGTTTTCAGTGCACCTAAAGGAAAGTTAACTTTTTCCTTAAATAAATAACTTATTAGTTTTTTAGTCATACAAATCTAAATCACTAGTAAAAACAACCTAATAAATTTTATATCATTTTTTTCTACTGTTTTATTTGGCAATATTCTAAAAAATTGATGCAAAACATAAATTTAAATTTAATTACAATTACAAACAAAATGTGACAAAAGGATTCAATTGCCCAATAACTTAAAGCAAATTATGCAAATCAAAATATATATATATATATATATATATATATATATATATATATATATATATATATATATATATATATATATATATATATATATATATATATATATATATATATATATATATAGGAAAGCTTACCCTTGATTAAATCCGGCATGATAGGCTCTAGGAAATGTGACCACAAATTCCCCAGCATGTTGATCAGTTCGATATACGGGTACACCAGCGTTCATTAGTATATTTGGGTTCATAATGGTAACCAACTGATGAAGCAAATCAGGTTGAGAGTGAAAAAGTTCAGGGGCAGCAGACTTCATAGTTTCTTCAAAAGATTCTGCTTTACTTCCTGGAACCCCATACCAAGTCTTTGCCTCGCCCCAATGAAGATAATTGATGGAATAACTCCAGTGATCTTCATTATGCCAGCAAAAAGTTGCGAAGCACATTCCAACATACATCCAAGGAACTTTCATTCCAGATATGTCTGCATTGATATAACCTAAAACGGAGCCTTCTAAAACTGGCAAATTGTTTAAATTCCAGCTAGATTCGGCATATTCTTTATCTCCTTGAAGTAAATTGGCTGATGACTTTGTTGGAAAACCAGAACCGTGATCCATTGTATGCAAATCTGCCCCATATTCCACAGTAACATCCTCGTCTATAGACGACACTATCCGCCAAAATTCACGCTCAACAGTACTTGTGGGAACCATCTGAAAGGATTAAAAAATTTAATGAACACCGAGGTCCAGTGCATGTGCACTAAAAAAACAATTCAGTCTTAAAAAATTAATTAGAACTTTCATTTTTCATGTCAAGAAATAGAAAGATTGAGACTTACATGTACTGGCATGTTGAAGTAGTCACACTTAAACTGATCTGCCATTTCGCCAAATTGTTGTAAAGTATATTCTCTCTGTGCTTGTTCAAAACCAAAAGCCTCAGTAGGTTTAGAAACTTCTTCAGCAACACATTTGGGACATCTCCAATCGCCTTTGGGAATTTCAGATAATGGAGGCATAAGACAAAATGTATGGTAACTATCGTCGCAACCGTCACACAATAACATATATTCTTCTGCATCACCACGGTTACAGTTGTGGCATACATACTTTGCCAGCTACAAAAAATTTAAAAACTCAACAAAAAGATCCACAGGAGCCAAAACTATGTCTTACAGGGTCAAAGTCGTATTTAATATTTTTGCGGATTTTTATATCCTTTTTATCATCATAGCCTGCCATTTTGGGACCTGCACCATAAAATTGTAGTCTCTTTAATTCTTTGCTTTTCTCATCGTTTTCAGAATCTTCAATTTTTTCCTCTTTTATCTTAAGTTCTATCTAGAATGATAAACATAAATTAAACTTAACAAGAAATCTATTTTTTTTTGGACTAATCATACTTCAGTCTTTTCTTTGTCACTGTTTTCAAATCTCTTAGATCGCCTTGCATTTTTATCTGATGGAGGTTTAACTGCCATACGGTTTATAATCCCATGAGGTTTGTAGTCTTTATCTGTTTTCTCACAAAGTTCATCATTATCTTGGATATTCTAAAAAATTATGATTATTAAGCCAATTTTTTGAGATTTAAAAATTATGCTTACTATGGAAACAGTTTTTCCTTCTTTAAAAACATCATATGGATATAGAAGACGTTCATAATGTTGTTTTAAAATAGTGCCCACATTTTTACCAATCTGATAACCCATGCGAGCAGATACTTTTGACCACTTTCTATTTCTAGTTGCCTCTTCAAATCCACCTTCAAGTTGTACAATTCTGTGTAAGGTATATAAATCCAAAACTCTCCTCTCCACCATAGGAATCTTCAATGAAGATCCCTGAAGTTCCCAAAATTTAGCTATCTGATCCAAGAAATTAAGTTTTACTCGAGTTTTTGCCTCAAGTTCATTGAGTCTTTGTATTCTAGGCGTAAACCTCAATTTATCTACATCTACAGCAAATGGTGGCTGCCATCTCTGAAAATTACCAATGATCTAACTGATTAAATGTAATCATTAATCTTGTTTTAGCTGATTTAAACATAGTTTACACAAAATACATTGAAAACAAAATGTCAAAATATTTTAAAATGGATACCATTATGAAATGTTTCAATTGATTTAAAATAAAGAAACTGCTTCTACTCTATATAAAATGAATATATTGCTTACCCCTGGTGGTTTGATTTTACATATCCCTGTTTTTTCAGCAATAGGTCTTATTTTAGCAATATATGCCAAAGGATCTGAAAATTCATCATCTGTTGGATAAAAGACTGGTGCTTCTGGTGGTACTTCAAATTGAAATGCTTCCTCTTTTACTTGATTGTAGTGTTCATTGCATTTTAGAGGAGAATTTTTGGAACTTCCAGGACTACTTTTATTTAAACCATTTCCATTTAGTTGCTTCTCCTTAGACGTCATTTTGACGCAAGTTTAAATTATTCCAAATAGAACACTTTCCATTGTTTTTATTCTGATAGAAAATACATTAGGTATATGTTTTAAAAAGTTCATAAATTCACAGAGATGAATTTTGATAAGAGGTGTACTAATATTCAACATGTCACATCATGAAAACCAACTTTCGCGATATTACCTGCTTTGAAAAATGTATGGAAATAAACCAGCAACTTCACAAATAAAACGCGAACTGCCGAAAATGATTATTTAACGTCACCCGACATTAACACATAAGTAAAAAGTTATGGAAAAAACGATATAAAACATTTTTATCTATTTTTTTATAGCACAGGAGAACCCGCAAATTAAGTAAACGGAGTCCATCTACTTGCGTTCCCCCACTACTAAATCGATTGTCAGATTAGCAACACAACACAATGTCTCATCACTTAGTTTTAAACATTAGCACACAAACAATTGACACTACATCAATTAGTTTTATCCTAAGTTACTCTTTTTCTTGTTCATAATGCTTCTTTATTAGCCAAAAACGCAATCAAGTTAATCCTTCTTTTAAACCTACCATATTTTAGGTTAGACCTCTTCGGTAGTTGGCAGCAGCGTTGAGGAAATCCGATGTTGCCACAAAACTCTAAAGCAAAAATAACAAAGCTATGTCAAAATAAATTCAAACAATATTATTGCTGCCAAGCTGAATAAAATATTTATCAGAAAGCAAATCAATCCTGATTACAGCAATGAACACTATTTTGTTCACAACCATTGCAAGTTAAAATCCTTGTATCGAATCCGTATTTTATATTCTGCTTTATTTCCTTTCCTAATTTTGTAAAGTTCAATGTAAGACGCTGACTTGGCAGCATCGCACTATGGAGGCTGTACGTGATGTACAAACATCCAGTTGGTTTTTATATACCCACATCAAGTGCATTGCAGCTTATATTTAATGGGGCCAACGTACTAATAATTTTTTTGAGGCAAATAGTCTATGAATCCAACTTGCATCTATTCTATGATTAAGTCAGCTGTCATTTATATATTTTGAATCTGTTTTGCGTATTGTTTCCAAAAGAGTGAGTTCAATAATGTCCAAAAACAAATTGAATCTCACTCTACCACCCGGTTCAATCGATCAGACACCAAATTCTACTCCTACTACTTCCACTTTTCAAGAACCATGCGTCCCGTAAGCCTTTTTAGATTTATTATTTGTAAGATGTGAGCTTGTTTGAAGCAGGCAGTTTCTTCATTTTTCTCTTTACTTTATAATCACTGTAATTTAATTTTAGTGCACCCAATTTAGTAAGAGGCAACAGTATAGATCACCTTACTGCCAGACTTGAAGAATTAGATATGGATGACACTCAAAGACGAAGAATAGAAGTATTTCTTTGCCAAAAAGAAAAAATAGGTGGAGACCTTTCAGATGATGATTTTGAAAAATTAGGAGAATTAGGTTCAGGTAATGGAGGAGTGGTTACTAAAGTGAGACACAAATCAAGTGGCCTAATTATGGCCAGAAAACTCATACACCTGGAGGTAAAACCTGCTATCAAAAAACAAATTATAAGAGAACTAAAAGTTCTTCATGAATGCAATTTTGCACACATTGTTGGATTTTATGGAGCTTTTTATAGTGATGGTGAAATCAGTATTTGCATGGAGTACATGGATGCTGGTTCTTTGGATTTAATTTTAAAAAAGGCTGGCCATATTCCTGAGAACATTTTGGGAAAAATTACTTCTGCTGTTCTGAAAGGGTTAAGCTATTTAAGAGATAAACATGCTATAATGCACAGAGATGTCAAACCTAGTAATATTTTAGTTAATAGTAGTGGGGAAATCAAAATATGTGATTTTGGTGTTTCTGGACAACTTATTGATTCTATGGCCAATTCTTTTGTTGGAACAAGAAGTTATATGTCTGTAAGCATCGATTTATTGTTTCTTATTTTCTTAATATTGTATAATTTATTTTATTTTTAAGCCTGAAAGATTGCAAGGTACACATTATTCAGTGCAAAGTGATATTTGGTCCCTGGGCTTGTCATTAGTGGAAATGGCAATTGGTATGTATCCTATTCCTCCTCCAGATGAAAGAACTTTGGCAGCAAAATTTAAACAATGGAATGAAAGCGATTCACCTGATGGTTCGCAGGCACCTAGACCTATGGCAATTTTTGAGTTACTTGATTACATTGTCAACGAACCTCCTCCTAAGTTACCTTCTGGAATTTTCACAGATGACTTTAAAGATTTTGTTGATAGATGTTTAAGAAAAAATCCAGATGAAAGAGCCGATCTTAAAACATTAATGGTGAGTGATTTTAAAAGCGATTTTGTTGTTACTATTTCCATTTCTTGACAGAGTCATCCATGGATAAAGAAATCTGAGGTTGAAGATGTTAATGTGGCAGATTGGGTGTGTGAAACCATGGAAATTAGGCGACCAACGAAATCTTAGCTTTGTAAGAAATTACCAAACTAACCACAAAACGTTGTTCAAGTGACTGGTTTTAGCTATTGGTAATTTGCATTTCTTTTTATATATGCATGTATTTAAAACGCAATTCCAAAGTCAACAAAGTGGAGTGTCCATCAGTGTAAAATTGAAACTGTGTTGTGTTTTGTTGTGTTTAAAGACGATTTGTAACAAAATTTTACTAAATATTCATTTTTAATAATTTTTTATAGCATCAAAGTGAATGTATATTTCATACTCATTGTTTTGTTTTGTTTGTAAAGTAAATTTTTTGTTAAAATATCAAGAAAAAATGGTCAGTTTTAGTCTAAGGTCAAACCCTTTTTTAAAACTACTTAGACATATTTAGTGCTGTGAACAAGTTATCACATTTTTTAATGCAAAGTACAAAGTCCTTATTTAGGTTTTAAGTAGTGACTTATAATTTTCTGTATCACAAAAAGTTGTCTGTGTCATGTTTTAAATAGATCATATATGAAATTATTACTGACTGGGTAATTCAAATAGAGTGATCCAATTTCTTATTAGTTAAACTAAGAGATAAATTTACATTCATTTTTAAAGTGTTAGTAATATTTGTATATTATTATTTAAAGGTATCATACCAAATTCATGATGTATTTACAGTAATGTATTCAAATATTACCTCAAAGAATATATACATTATGAATGTCTCAGTAATGTAATAAGACTTTTTAAATATTTCATGCCTTTTTGATAAAGTTTGCAAATTCAAAGTAAAGTTTTCTGTTTTCCATGCGCGCATATAGCTGATGATATAGTGGCCCTAGTATGGTGAAAATTCTAGCCTCCAACGGCTATGCTGTTTTGTAGAGGTGGGAATGATATTCCGCGCATACCTCTCACTAACCTGCAGTTTGGGAAATTTTCTTTATAAACAGCGATTTCCACACACTTAACTCATTTTTTATTTATACTCTAGTAAAAAGCTACAACTAAATTGAAATCTGTCAAACTGTCATTGTTCAACGCCGGTATGAATAATTGGCTGAAAACGAGATTTCAAATGATTATTTTTTTTTTGTCCTCGCTTCAAAAATTATCAGTATAGGTTGGCTTCTATATATATCTAGTATTTTATTACATACAGATATGTGTATTAACTTATTAGAAATGCCTGTCGTGTATATGTGATATATTTCGCAAATAAAATATTTTTATTGTGTATAACAAGCACTATAAAAATGAACATACTCAATTGTGTTTTTTACTTTGCGCTGAACGTCACCCACATAAAGTAAAAAAAAGAACTATACTGAATAAAACGGCCACTGCTTAAAGTGTTGGCTGACATACTTGAACACAAAAATACATATTTTTAAAAACTAAAGTAAAAAATGCCTTTCACGTATACATTGCCACCACTATTTATTTCCAAAATTTACGTCACTTTTTGCTCTAGGAACAAGGATGCTATAATATTTAATATGAGAAATAGTTACAGGAATTTATTGAATTTTATTAGTACACACATATTAATAATATTATAATTAATCAAAATTAGCTTGTGCTTTTTAAGAGTACGGTTTTGTCACCAAATGTATAAAAGTCTTTTAAGTTAGGTAATGAGGGAAAAAATTGTCGACTTGGCAACGTCCAAACTATGCAAGCTTGCCAATGTGAGAAACCTAATGGCATATGCTCCAAGTTTCCCTATTTTCAGTTCTTTTATCAGCTTTTTGCGGAATAGGTAGGTTAATGTCTACAAAGAAGAAATTAAATCCAAAAATATCTCCATTATGTAAAGACATCGAGTGCAAAGCTGTAGTCAATTTAAATTGTCGATAAAATAAGTGCTCGTTATATACAGTATTTTTTCGGTTTCGTGAGAATTTGAACTTTATTTTGGTTCTAGTGATTGACGGTTCGTATTTTCAGTTTTCAGCAAAATGGGCCGGTACGCTCGGGAACCTGATAACGCAGGCAAATCGTGCAAGGCACGAGGCTCCAATTTAAGGGTGCACTTTAAGGTTTGTATTTTGTTTACATCAACTTTGTGTCCCTAATATTTCTTTCACCTAACCTCTCATGTCCCTTACATCAAGTTTGTGTCCCTAATATTTCTTTTATCTAACGTTCTCATGTACCATATCAACTAACTATAGTTGTATAGGTGTAATGTCTTTAGCTGATTTCGTTTTTTATTTGTTTTTAGAATACTTGTGAAACAGCTAACGCAATTCGCAAGATGCCTCTAAAAAGGGCTGTAGCCTATCTGAAAAATGTAATTGCTATGAAGGAGTGCATTCCCTTCAGACGTTTTAATGGAGGAGTTGGACGTTGTGCACAAGCAAAGCAATTCGGGACAACTCAAGGTCGATGGCCTAAGAAATCGGCAGAATTCTTATTACAACTATTGAGAAACGCGGAAAGCAATGCCGATTATAGTGGTTTAGATGTTGACAGGCTTGTTGTAGATCACATTCAAGTAAGCAGTTTTGCTTTTATGAAATGTGTGTTTTTGAAAATTTTATTGTTGTCACAATTTTTAGGTTACATGAATATCCTTGTGTATTTATTAAAAATATTCAGTTCCTTTGGTTTTGTGTGTTTAATGTGTGTTTAAAAATATTCAGTTTCTTTGGTTTGTGTTCTTTGCAATTAATTTTATTGAAACCCATTTTTTCTATTATTGCATTTTGTGTGATTCATGTCAATATTGATATTACAATTCTAAAACAGTAGTTTCTAAATTTGTGGTTTTTAAGGTTAACAGAGCTGCCTGCTTAAGACGTCGTACATACCGAGCTCATGGTAGGATAAACCCATACATGTCTTCTCCATGTCACATTGAACTGTGGCTCACGGAAACAGAATCTAATCCAGAATCAGTGGAGAAAACAAGCAAAAAGGGTTCAGGCGATAAGTTGAAGAGAATAAAGTAGTCTGGTGACTCAATAAATGATAATATTTATGAAACCATGTTTATTTCCCCGCCCTGACTTTTTATGAATAAATTTAGGCTTTTTTGTAATAGGCTGCCTATAGTAAGCGTTTTTGAATACTAAGTGCCAAAAAAAAGTTTCAACTTATTTTTTTCTTTTGGTATTGTGGGGGTTAAGCCCCATTTTAAAGATGAGAAAATAATTTGTTGATCCCTAATTGATGTGACTTGGTAATGACTAAAAAGTGTTTTCTGTATGTCCAAACTAGCCTAAAAAATTCATAATTCAAGTGTTTGTACAGCTTTTGGAAAGAATACGGAAATAAGGTTTCTGTATTACTTGTATTGCCATCTACCGATGAAAGTACAAACTAATTACGGCAGACAATGTGTACTCTGAAAGTTCTCGATAGATGGCAGATCAAATTACATAAAGTTCTAATTATTTAAGGAAATGGTTGTCTATTAATTTAATTAATAACGGCAATCTGAGATGGAATTATGATAGGAAAATGGTTTATATATTAATTAATAAAACGGCATAGGTATATTACTAAAAATCAACTTTTTAATTCGCACAAAAATGTCTTAACATATACGTAAATTTAATTTTCAAATGTTGATTAAGAGCCCATACAAGTTTTAAGAGTGACAACTGTCAGAGGTATACAATTATTTAAAAGAATTATATCTGCATTTTCCCTAAAAACTAGCTGCGTTTGGAAAGTACGAATCAATTTTTAAACCTCAGACAAATGAAACAATATTTTGTCAAGGTTTAGGACGCTGTATAAAAAAATGGGCCTGATGATCCAAAAAGCCTGTGCTTAGAGCTGATTAATACTGCACATTTAAATAGAATTTAGTTTTCCCTGTATAAGGCTTTATTTTGATATTTAAGCACCGTAGTTACACTCGCACGATGCTATCGAGTCCGTTTTTTGATAAAGTAAGTTCCGTTCTGGGCCATTTTTTTCTTGTGCACTTTCCTGTGTTTTGCCAAATGATCTGACCGAGCGAAAGCTTTCTCACATAGTTCGCACTTATAGGGTTTAACGCCGCTATGTGACCTCTTATGACGTGCTAATTCGTCAGATCTAGAAAATCTCCAAGTACAGTTCACCCAGTTACACACAAACGGCTTCTCTCCAGAATGCCTCCTAAGGTGTGCCTTGAGGTGAGAAGACTTAGCGTAAATCTTTTCACAGTTCGGTATAGGACAAGTGAAGTATTTTTCGTCTTCCGGCTTGGTTTTCTGAGTATAGTCGTGATCTTTTCTTTTATACATAATACCCTGATTTTGATTGGTTTTGTCCCCTTTTTTGTGGTATTGTGAGCACGTATTCTCGTAAAGCAAGCTTCTACGTCGTCGATTTTTCTCGTTATTCATATGAGGAAACATGCTAACGATCTCTGGCGTCTCACACTCCTTTGGAACTCCTTCGATCACTAAGTCGAATGATGTATTCGCAAATATCTCGTTCACTTTTTCGGACAGCTGCCCTCCCAGATCTAGTTCCTGATTATCTTTGAATACACCGCCGATATTGTCACAGTTTGTGTGGAAATTTAAATCGACACCTAATACCGACATCGCACTGTTCTCCACTGCATTATCGAAGATATTTTCCAGTTCAAATGTCGTTTCATTCGATATGCCGTTTTTATTATCACCATTGTCTAATAAACTTTTAATCATGCTATCTAAGAATTTATCGTCTCCGTTTATGGCTGAGTGATCCTTTGGCTTAGCGGCATCGTATTCGTACAATTCATTGTAAGGGCATTCAGACGATTCGATTTCTTCAAAGGGAAGAAAGTCTATCAGAGAACAAAGCTCGGATGTCGAATTGTCTTCAAAAATCGTTTCGATTATGTCTCCAGACGGCATGATTGTCACCTGGAAATAAAAGCCGATCTAAAGTATAAGTAATCGACGGTATACTCACGTACAAAGAACACAAAATAAAAACCCTGTAATTCAATTTCATAGGACGTGCCGACCAAGTTGACACTGCGGGCTCACTGAACGGTATAAATCTTTACTTTTAATTGAATTAAATTACTCTGGTTTATCATCTGCTCGAATAAACGTTCAGTGAATACCTAGATTTAAATAATAAACGAATTTTGTTTCTCATTAGGGAGTACTTTTATTATTAAGTCGTAATCATCTATCAATTAAATATTTGAATTTGAATTGCCAAATTCCTGTCGTAGGATTAAAAAAATATTTTTTCCTGCTCCTATTTCGCATCTCAATTTATATGTTTATTATTCCAAGATAAATCATTAACTAACTTTTATCAATTTTCATTGAAAATTGCCAATTAATTTACCCAAATTCAAAATTGTCGTTACTGTAAAAATAAAAAGTATAAATGTACCAATTATCTGAAGAATCGGTGTGAGGAACATTATTTTTTCAAAATGAATTGTGAAGATCAAAGTGTAGGTAGGTTAGGATAGGTACGACCTTAACAACTGTATTAAATTACCAACATTTTTTAGGGTGTAGATTAATTTGTAGTTCTTTTACTAATACCAATCTCGTTACATCTTTATTTTTTTTATTCTACTCCAAATTTTTAAATTTAGGTTTTTGTTCCTGTAATTATTTGTTTGAAGTCAAAATAAGTTTCGCAAATTTAAAACAATCAAGCAACTTTTGGCTCGCTAAGAATTCATCTATTGAAATTCATTCACGACAAATCACAAAGTATTTTTTATAAATTTTGATTCAAAATTGCAAATTAGTTTACAGAAATTCGAAATTGACGTTATAGTAAAAAAGGAATGTACCAATTATTTCAAGAAGCTCCATTATTCTGTCAAAGTGAATTGTGCTGCTCAATATAGGTAGGCTAAAAGAGGTACGACCGTATTATGGAAATTAGAAACATTTTTTGGGCTGTAAATTAATTTGTATTTTTTTTTACTCATACAATAGTACAATGCCGATGTCTTATTCTAATCCGAACTTTGAAATTTATATTTCTGCTTCTGTAATATTTCGGCGTTTAATTCAGCAAAATACTTTTTATTTTTCATGTAGTTTGTAAAATGAACATTCTATTTACTTTTAATTCATTCATTGGGATTTGAAAAATAGGCAAATTTTCATATATTTACTATATTTTTGAATGCAAACGAAATAATTTTCCTGTCTAAATATAATACGTCTGTTTACTTACCGATTTCAAAATATAATTAATAATAATCCAAAGGAATTCGTCAAAAATATTCAAAGAACGCACCGCACTATATAGAAGAAAACAACGGCCAAAATGTAAATTCCCATTTGACGGTTAGTTCGTCTGGATATCGACTGATATTTTATAATCTCTTGGAGCCATTTATAAACATATGTTATAACGCTCCCATGGGATTTTTTAAAAACTTGTTCAAAATTTTATGAGCCCGTGTCAACTATTGCCTAGCACTAGTTTGTCTTTGATATATTGTGTTTCATCCCTGGAGAATATGCATGTTTTGTTGAGGGAAGAATTTCTGTCGACAGCGGTACCGAACATACGGCGTTTTAAAAACAGTAGTCAAGTGTAATTAGCTGGGAAATATGCATGGCAATGTTGCGGTTGTTAACACGTATTATTTTACGACTCAATAAAGAAAATATTTTCGAGAATCCGTATATAATTATTGCAATACCTACTTGAATTTCAGGATGTTCTCCCAGCTGATGGGGGATCGTACCCTAAGGGAGCAAACAGATGGTACGTTTGGTACGTTTGACCAGATTTTTTTAAACCAACTTTTTGCCTTACTGATTAAGAGAAAAATATTACAAAACTTAATATTTTGGAACGAAAATTATTAAACAATTACGAAAACGGTAATTTATATATTTCGTTGTTGCTTTAGTTTCAAAAACATTTTGACAACGTCTGTTTACTGTGGGCTGAGGATGTATTGATAATTTGTCAGAAAATGTTTGATATGGTCGCATTCAGACTAAGTGCGAGTCGGCCTCCGATAACATAATTGTCCGATTCTCATTAATATGAGCAATTCGATCTGTTTTTAAATTTAATACGTAGTTGTGACGTCGCGTCGCTCTGCGCCCAAAACATCCGAAATAAATAAAGATCAGTTTATACGAATATCTATATTTAGTTTAGGGATAGATTGAATAACTGGCTTAAAATATTTAACAATTAACGGATTTTAGGATAAACGTGTAGCGTTTAGCAATACGTAGGTATAAGGTTTTCCCATCTCCTTGTCCGAGTTATTGATTGATATATACTGCAGCTTTCGTTGCATAGTTAGTTGATATATAAGTAGAATTAATAGTTCAGGTACTACAGATTTCTGAATACGAGCATCGACGTACGATTAATCAAATAAAGTTTATTTTATTCGCGAACGCTGAACATCCTGAATTCGAAATTAACTCTCATTATTGTTATCTGATGTCGACGAAGCCGATTGTGTTAGTTGCACCAGTAACGTTTTAAACGCATATTTGTTGCACGTCTACCGCATAAATTTTTTATAAATTGTTCAGTTTCTTTACATAAGGTAACCTCGTTCGTGAAAATTAATAGCATACTCATACTACTAATCTGTTTCGTTACATTTGATCTCAATTAATTTTCAGAAAATCATTAATTGTATATCAAATTTATTTTCAATTTAGTTTCGATGTCAATCCGTTAATCTATAAGACTAAAACTTAAAATTTGGTGAACGGTAGAGGTTTATTTTTTTGCTACTTTCGCGTATATTTTGAGGAAATATAAAGATTTCGTTTTTCTGCCGCCAAGCTAATTAACTATGCTAATCTTTTCACCTTGTACATTGTATTAATTGTTTAAGTATTTTTATAGTACATTTTAATTAACTTCGTTTTTGTTTAAAGTTCAAATAAGTTTCGTAAATTTAAAGCACGAAGTTTTAGGTCTCCGGTGTTCTGGTCCAAAGAATTCATCTATTGAAATTCGTTCACCTGTGCAGGACACAATTTATTTTGTAACCCCTCCATGGTTAATTCCGTTATTTACAAAAGTTTACTGACATTTTCAGTTTTATTTTACGATTTTCGTTTGATGGTCCCGATACGTATTTAATTTACTACCTCTGCTGTATGACCACAACAAGCACTAATAATATATCATTCGGTGAGTAAATAATTGGATTATTTTTGGCATTATATTATTTATTTATTTTAAAGTAGAAAAATTCAGGCACGGGATGTCAACATATCGCATTTTCCAAAATCATCCATAGCAACGAAAAAAGCTCAATTTTTGAAAAAAAAAATTACCTGTAATACTGTGCTTTTTTTTATTTATTTATTTATCGATGTGGTAAAAAAATACTTGGCTTTTTTTTGTGAATTTTTAATAACCCTGCAGCTTGGAAGGTTTTCTTCCGGTAGTGTAACATCCGGAAATCGTATATAACTATGCCGGGTCAATGCATCTGGTGTGAAATTTGTTTAGCCTCTAAAAACGCTAACGAGCTAACCTTGATTAAGGAACAATAAAAGCCTAAACATACCATTTATTTACAACGATCTGTGATATTCGGGAAATCTGCGTTGCGGCAATTTTACCGTCTGATGATTTACAAAAAATGTTTGTTGTGAATATGTTTGTAGCCATTTGCGATCTATCCATCAACTCTGTACGAAAATGTCGCAATCAATATGGTTTTTCGCAATTTTGATGTCAAAATTGATCGCTACTCAGGAATATGAGCCCATTGATGATATTCCAATTGAAAGTTACGATCAAGCGGCTCGACAGGAAAACGATATGGATCTGGAACTACTGCCTAGACAGCACAGATCTTTTTCGGACACGGAAGACCCAAAAGATAATTTTTTTAGGTTTGGAATATTTGTTGGTGCTTAATCGGGAAAACCACCAAGTTTTCATTATAGATCGATGAGGTCTTTCGACGACATTGAGGACGTACGACCGTTTGCTCCTTACGACAATATTCCTAGACCAAATGGTATTACACCGATCTACACTGAATTGTCATCAGAGGACCAGGTTCTTAACAGCAGGCAAAAAAGGCATGCGCAAGAAAACGAGTCCGTAAAAGATATATTAATCACGTTAGGTAAACCATTGGAAGTTGCCCCCTTGTCTTCGGCTAATTCCACCGCTAGGGAGGGTAATGTTGAAATAGCAGCAAAACGTAATCTATCGATTAACGATTTTATAAGATTCCGGCGATCTGTCAAAGAGACAAACTACGGATTTAGGTAATAAGCATACGCGTAAATACGTGGAACAACCAACGTAACCGATTTCAGCCAGCCAAAGCCAGAAAAAATGATGATGGACGACCCTGACGACGAGATAAACAGAGAAACGAGAGGTGCTACCAATGAGCACTGGATAAAACAGCCCTATCCAGTGAGAAAAACCGATGAATTGGCGTTCGAAGACAATATGCCCTCTTCGAGTGAAAATATCCGATTTCCTAGGGTGCACTTGGATAAAAATGGGGCCGAAGATGGAAGTCCTGATTTTAGACATAATCAACGGGAGGCCAGATCACGGGGTTTAAATAAAGATGGACCTAGAGATGTTGACTATTATCAATCCAGACCAAATAGACCGTTATATCCCGAGCGGCCATATTACAGGTATTCCTTCGGTTTTGGTTATGGGGTGAGTCTGTGCATATGACGTACTTTTTAGAGATGAACGTTATCACAGATACGACAATCGAGATAGAGACGTTTATCGGCCAAGATACGAGCATTATGAAAGACCGAGAAGTTATTACCCTTCAACTCCTCAAAAACCCCAAAAACGTATAATTTACTACGCCACCCTTCCCGAAATCCCTCGTTCCAGTCCCAACTCAGAAATACGCGACAGATATCATTACGATAGGTATGATGATAGATATTCCGACCCGTATAGAATTAGAAAGGGGCCTCTTAAATCGTCGAACTATGAAGATGGTAAAACCCCGTATCCCGTCAAAGTTTCGACCGATGTCAATGTCCGGGAAGTTAAAAAGAACCCTGAAAGGATTTATTCCGAAGTAGATAGAACCAGATATGCATACAACACCCCTTATCAAGCAACCGTAGGTTAGAGAGCTGTTCCTTGTTTTTAAATCACTGCCCAGCTTAAACTTTCCTTAGCCGGGACTTTTTCGCCCAACGTTGGGAACATTTTTAGCGATACGACTTTTTTTATACGGAAAAACTAGTAAAATACACTTTTTTACATTAATTTTGGTTTTTTCTTATGTACGTAGTTAGTTAATAAATTTCCGGTTTATCTTTTCACAGATTTAATTACTTTCGCGAATTTAAACAAACTCTTAATGCATATGATTTAAAATCCATTACAGTAACATTGGACGACTTGCCTCTGCTTTCGGTAAACCTGATTTATGTACATGTATTTTTTAACTGTTTAATGACAGTGGCGACTCCACTACAATTTCTTTTTTCTGTTAGGGTTTCTCTTATTTATTCCCATGGAAATTTCAACAGTACAAAAAATAAAAATAAAATGCCCTACTTGATAACATCTTTTAAGAACATTACTAACTAACCAAAATTTATATTGGTTAGTTTTGGGTGGTTAAATGCGAAATATCGTTCACTTTGACCTTCTGCATTGAACATTCTATACGATGGACGGGCGCTGCTAGTGAAGATAATAGAATAATGGTTCCTCAAAAATATTAGGAGTCGTTTTCAATTTATGGTCCAGCTTTCTCTTCTGAAGACTTCACAGGGATCCAGAATACATATTTCAGATTTGCTTTGGGTATTAGAAAATATAATGACATGATATTTGTATCAAATAACTTCCGATGATAAGCTTGTATCCTTTAACCAAACTCATAATGCCAATACCTGAACGAAACTGATTTTCATACGCGTTGTTACATAGCTGAAATGAAAATGAACTGAATTTTCTTCTATAAGGATCCAACGCAACTTGTAGTTCTCTGATATTCTTACAAACACCTTTAATATTCTATCTATATATTAGGTTATAATTGAATTTCGATAAATAATGGATTGGTATTGTTTTTGGAAATGTTATAATTTAAATCCTCTTTGTATCTTAATGTTAAGTTGAAAAGCGCCATATTTCTTCTATTTATCGAAATAATTTCTTCCTTTTTAATAGTATGGATATGCTCTGTGACTACTACTTACTGTTCTTGGGTGAATAGTGAATAGTTCTTATACAAAAATGTGTACTCTATTGTTTTTTCCCTGATGCATTAAGCGTAATATACACAGAAAAATATGGTGCGCTGTCTACTTTCAATAACGCTTAATAGAATGAAAATTTTTGTCGGAAGCGTCGCCACTGTTTGCGCCATACCGATCCTCAGAGCTGCCGCTGGTTCAGCTAAAATAAACTGAAACCCGCGTATGTAAATTTTATCTACCAAAAGACAATTTATGGTTAATACCAGGCGGGTAAATATAAATTTATCGCCGTGCGTTTTGTCGCAAAATAATCTACGTGTAAGCCATCGAAAGTCATCCATTACAAGGTTAATCCATTTGCATTAAAAAACAGCACATCGCTTATTTGCATAAGTCAAACCGAAACGGTAATCCTCTATTGTTTAACAAATTAATAAGGAATATCTTAAGTTTGTTTCGGCTATGACATTTTCTATGCGCGAATTGTGGATTTGGTGGCAGTTGGTGCCTTAAGAACGGATCGGTTTGACGATTACACCAAGTTGTAATTTATGGCAGGATAAAATCTCGAAATTATCATAATCATTACACTGTCTTCTGTCCCACACTCGTTCATGTGACTAGCTTCCTCATACATATTCATATTGGCACAAACACATATAAAGATGTTATCAACAGTATCCTCTTTTTATTTTCAAGAACGGGACACGAGTAATTGTCCCAAGCAACGTTTATTAACGGAAATAAAGTGAAGCCAACGTGTTTGTTAGGTAGTCAAAAATCACACGTCTCCGATAAATAGACGTTGGAAATTTCCAAACATATAAAACTGAATTAAGAATACGTGGACGTGAATAATTCATTTTAAGAACGCGATTAAAAAGCGGGGCTCCGATGACATTTGTGCCGTTTTGGTCGTATAGGGCGTATCCGAATATCCCAAAGGAAATTATAATATACCTCTACCTATCTTCTTTATCTCGAATTTTCACTAGTGCATAGACACCCGGGTTGAATTCAAAAATACGCTTTATGTATATTTGTTTCAAATTAAATTGCGGCCATAACTTATCCGCTTGCCAAGCTTCGCAATTTAATCTTTTTCCGCATTTATTTCTTTGCTTTGTGATTCTTGGTTTACGTCGGACTAAATTGGATCCGCATTTTTTTCTGGCTTTTGAATTAATCAAGTTTTTGTTTTCTAACTCTTTCCTTTTAGAATGTCAGTTTAACTCCAATTTTCGTTAATTATTTGTAGATATGTTCGGGAAAATAAATATACCTACAAGTTATTAAAAGTTTTAGTATAATAACTAATAATAAACTAATCAGAATTACAACTTTTTATTTTATTTTTGCTTTAACGTTTGTTTATTTCCGTGTACACACGCACACACACTTTTGTTGCTTCGCCTACAACAAAATTAATTATTAAGTTTGTTTTAATGCATTTGTGAAATTAATAAGTTATTATTCCCGATTTACGCCTAAATTAATTTGTAATATATTTTCAGTCGATAAAGTGCATTATTAAAATAAAGAACATTTGATTATTTGGATCAATACGGACCTGCGCAGTCGATTTTTTTCTTACTAAAATTCACCAAATAACGAACAAAAGTTGAATGAACACCACGGTGTCCATTTAAAATGTATTACATATTTCATTATCCAAAAAGTATCTTAATTTATGGATCTTGACGCTCATTAAGGCGGTCCCAGACCATCACAGAAATAGTACTTCCTGTTTGCCAAGATAACGGCCAAAGAAAAAAATTGGAATTTTGCGCCTGCTAGTAGAAAATAATTCGATTTTCTGCTCCGGTAGGCAAACTTAAGCAGAGTTGATAATGATTCTAGAAAAATTTAATTTTTGAACGATATGTGGATTCACCGTGTGATCCAAATAATAATAAAACTTCTTATAAGCATCAGAACCCCTAAAATACTCTGGTTTTAAAATTTTGCAATTTTATTGCGGTGTTTTCCGGGTTTCTAGGTTTCCTCGCTTATTTATTTAACACAAAAATTCTTCTGTTTACTTTAGATTTTATGAACGGCTCTTGAGAAAAAATGATCTATTTGAAGCGCTTTGATTGGATTTGGGAAAAATATTTTGGGTTCTTATTTTCTGTAATTTTAACACCCTACAACAAACTTTTATTCTTATCTTCGCCCCAAGGGACCACCCTGTAGATGTCACGTCCCTCCTGTCAAATAAAATACGACATTAATATTTTCCAACGACGTAACAGGAAGTGACAACGCAATATAGAGAAATCTTAATGTTCCTATCATCAAACCTCTAAAGTGTGAGGGTTGATTTACACGGAAGTCTCTTTTTAATTTCACCCCTCTGATTTCCTTCTGGCTAATAAATAATTTAAATTTAATCGACTGCGTCGTGCGACCAAATCTAATTTTGTCTTTGTTTCATCCCCGGATTTGCCGGGTTTAAATCTGTATAAGCGCTTTTTTTGCGATTGTTTGCGTAATCGTTTTTTTTACTTCATATTATTGTAAACATGCGTTCGAACGAGATATGTGTTTAAATTATACCGTCAATAAATAATTAAATCTTTGTATATAACGGTGTCAGTCCTAGCGTGAAAAGTTCATCAGATTACAACGCCTTGCAAAATGAAATTGCATTTTTTTTTTTGCTAAGCAAATAACAGAAAAGAGGTTAAACGGATCAAAGTTTTATAAGGTAAATCAATTGATCATGTAACGCAAAAAGTTTAATGTCACAATTCTCGTAGTTAATCACAGTTTAGTAAGTTTAGTCGTGACTGACTTTAATGATAACGCGACCAAAGTGCAGTTGCCCAAGCAAATAATTGTAATTGATAGGATCACTCTTTCATATATACGTAGAAGCCAGGTAGAAGGTATGTGCATTATAAGCAAAGATATGAGTTTGCTAATAGTTTACCTTTTTTGATGTTTGGACATAACAAACTACTAAACGGTTATTTTTAACTTATGTATTAGATATTGTATGAGTTTATTTTCTTCTATTTCCCTGGAGCCCGAAAAAAATTGACTAAAAAGATCGAAAACAAGATAATTTTCATCCCCATTAATGTATTAGGCTATACATTGAGTTTATGAAACTGCAGTTTTAATTTAAATAATTGAACATATTGTCGAAGTAACCTGGTCTACTATAAGAGTGGTACCAAAGTATCGCGTGGAAGAATGTTAAAGATTTTTTGCTTTTCTTGCTGACTGTACCCTTAAACACGACTGTGTTTAGTTCGTTGGTAGATTCTAGTGTTATAATTAGGTAATAACTAATTGATACTGTTCGAAAATAAATGCGGCATAACTCTTACGCGATAGGTATGGTCGTCATAGAGTATCAATTAGTAGATTGCGTGGCGGTTCACAGAGATTACTAATTCTCGGTTAATATTCCATTCCCCCATGTTTCTTCCTTGCGTTTTGCTGTTTAGTAGCCCGTTAAAATATCTCACATTTTTTTAAATACCAATTAATCGAAAGTCGGAGGGCATATTGATTTATCAAAATGATTTACCGAGTTCTACATTATATATATTATATTATATATTATATTTTATTATATTATATCTTACACTTAACAATGCTAGTAGTTGTAATTTTAAATATTGAGAGAATTCCTTTAAAAAAATGGTTATAAAAAAGTAAAGCCACTAAAACATTTCCTAGAGAAGTAAAGGACTATATATTTAATTAAAAAATTAAAAGTAGGAGGGCATATTAATTTATCAAAATTCTTTACCGGCTTATGAATTATATAATTCCTTTAAATGATAATTAATAATGATAATAATAATAATTTTATAAATTAAGAATATTTCTTTCGAAAAAAAAAATATTAATCAGCAGACAGAAATTTACAACCTGCTCCCTGTGCACATAGGAAAAGGTGAAGCCATTAAAACGTTCTCTAGATTAGTAAAGGTCTCTAATTTTGGAAAATTTTACTGTGTTCACTCCATAAAATTAGATTTTTTTACCTACTGTGTTGATATGCTAA